CTGAGCCAAACAGACCAGGGCTTCGCTTTGATTTTTTAATTACTGGCAATTTCATAGCCACAAAAACTAGCCATGTCTGAGAGTAACAGGCGTACACCCCAGACACAGCCTATGGTTACAGAAGGTCTGGTCGCCAGACCTTCCCTGGCTCAATGGATACTGCGCCATGCGAAACTGCGTTGGCTTTTTATTGTCTCAGAGGTGAAGAAATGAGTCAGGTAAAGACTTCCAGCGTGGGTGACCAGTTCCTAGAGTTCTGGTCGGTAGTCGCGCTCTGTCTGTGGGTTCTTTGGGGATGATTACAGAAACATCAGTCACTTGTTTCCATAAATATTTAATAGTGCCAATTGAATGTGATAAAATATTAAAAATATCATTTATTAAATATTTAGAAGTTCAGTCTTTGGAACTGGCCAGCTCTCTTCATTCTGCTGCCAGCCTAAAGGAGCAATTTAGAACATTTGAATGATAAAATTAGAATACTGGGGAGAAAGAAAAGAACTGGGGATATCGCTATGACATTATCTTTTTACTTGAAGTATTAGTCCTTTTCAGCTGCAGGTCTTTCCATTGGAGTAGCAGAAATGCACATTTTATGCTACTACCTTTTGATGTTTTCTGCTGTCTTATGTTTTCGGCAGTTTGCCTAGTATTTTCCCTTCTTATTGCATTAGATAAATTCATTTAAAGTATAAGGAGTTTTATGGACTCATATATTGAAATAATCTTCCGCTTCATTTGCTATGCTTATAGTTTTATTAACACAACCTTAAATATGAAAACAAATTGGAATTGATGCTTGCTCTTAGTGGCACATTACTAACAGTAAATTGAATGAGTAGCTTCTGCGTTTGGAAAGGAGAGGTTAGTGACAAACAGTGGAGGTTCAGAGGCCTCTTCACAATGGCCCGTGTACCTGAGTCACACCTGTAGCCCAGGCAGCGTTCCAGCCTGCCGCGAGGAGCTCGCTGGAGAAGGTGGGAGTTGCAGCCATTAGGAGAAGCATCCAGCCTGGCTGCAGAGTAAGGTTATGTTCAGGGGACCTTCCCCGAGTGAAGGCTGCAGCAAACTCGGGGCCCACACACAGCACTGCGGCAGCAAGCCCGCCGCCGTCCCAGAGTGCTCCTGAAGGAGAGGGCAGGTGCACCACAGCCTTCGGAACGCCCTTCTTTACCAGGTCTCTTGTCCCAGGGGCTGCTTTAGTGTGGGGAGATGTTCTCCAAAGGCACTTTAAGTTCCAGCCTTTATGGTCGGGGTGGGCGTTGTGGTCGGTCCTGCATGATCTCAGCACAGCTCACCTTCAGGGCTGGCTGCCCGTGGACTGCCAGATTCTGTCGTCTCTGCTTGGAGCAAAACACCAACTCATACCTGGTTCTCCGTTCTCAGCACCAAAACTAACTTCTTTAGGAGACTTTACAAACCAGAATACTGATTTTTTTTTTTTAATCCTCATTCGAGGATATTTTTGTTTATCTTCAGATGGGGGGGGGGCAGAGAGAAACATTGATGTGAGAGAGACACATCAACTGGTTGCCTCCCGCATGACCTGACCAGGGCGGGGGACCAAACCACACCTGAGATACATGCCCTTGACTGGAATCGAACCCACGAGTTATTGGTCCCTGGGCCAACACTCTAACCACTGAACCAAACCAGCCAGGGCTAGGACACTGATTTTATTTGTACTATATAAGGTTCCTTACACACTCATTCATTGGCCAAATACTTTCTGAGTGATGAGATGTTAATTAGCAGACAACAGAAGGTCACCCCGTCCTGGAATCTGTTTTTGTCCACATCCGAGTGGAGGAGGAGAAGGTGACTATACAACAGCACCTTGTGGCATCTCCCGTGTCTGACGTGGTCTTCAGCCTGTCACGCGTGACGGGTTTGATTGCACAGCAGTCTGTGAGGTGGGTACGATTCCTGTCTCACTTTACGGATGAGGAAACAGGCCCATGGAGGCAGCCAGGTAACCTGCCCGAGGTCCCAGGCTGGCTCCTTTGCCCTCTCCGGCCCGGGTGGCGATGAGCAGAAGAGGCGGCGGCAGTAGGCCCAGGTGGCAGGCGCTGTCGTAGTTGGACTGGAAACACTTGAACAGACACCTGACGTGAGGCGACAAGTCCCCGAGACCCTGAGGGGACTGAAGAGGCTGGAGCCTCATGCTGTGAGGACGCGAGCCTGCTGTCCTTGCTTCCCTGGCGCTCGGAGCGCGGCCGGGGGCTGAGAACGGGCCGCTCCTGCGCACCGGGCGGGCGGCGGGAAGGCTCCCGGACGAGACTGCTGCTCTCCTGAGGAAATGTTGTTTTAAAAGCGGAATTTTCAGCCCTGGCCGGTTTGGCTCAGCAGTTAGAGCTTTGGGCTGCGGACCAAAGAGTCTCAGGTTCGATTTCGATCAAGGGCACAAACCTCAGTTGCAGTTTGTCCCCGGCCCTGGTCGGGTTGTGTGGGAGGCAGCCAGGGGAAAGTCTCTCACATGGATGGTTCTCTTTCCCCCTCCCACTCCATCTGAAAAGAAAACAAAACACGTAGTTTTCCTAAAAAGGTTATTTATGTTAACTTACAATGGGTTTGTTTTTTTAAATGAATTAATATTAAATTTTATCTTTGTTTTCATTTTCAATACAGTAAATACTGATAGGTAGGTAGGTAGGTAGATTAGATTAGACAGATACAGCCCACATAAACAAAAACTCTGTCTCTCTCTGTTCCTCTCTCTCCCTCCCACTCTACCTGAACAAAGAATGGAAAAATGTCCTCGGGTGAGGATAAAAAAAACAAACAAACAAACAAACAAAAAAAACCCCAAAAACTCTGAGGGTCCTCAGTACCTTTTTGGTGTGGCCGGTTATGAGCGCACCAGTTTGAGGACGCGGCTCAGAGCAGATGTGTCCGGCTGCCGCGCGAAGCCCTAACACAGGAGTGAGGATGCGCTTGGTCCCTTGGCTCTTGTAGGCAATAGTCCAGGTGAGCCCGAGAAGTGGCTGCGGCCGCCTTTTGTGTGTGTGCAGAGTTTTAAATGCGGTAAATGTGTGTGACAGTTTCCCGTCGTAACCATCTTAAGTGTACAGTTCAGCCGTGTCAAGTGTATTCATTCGTATTGTTATGCAACCCATTCCCAAAACTCTTCTCATCTTGCAAAACAGACACTCTGTACCCATTAAACTAGTCCTGTGGGTGTGAAGCGACCTTGAAAGTGAAGGCAGAGAGTTTGCCGTAGCTTTGGGCTCGGCTATGGCTGCACGGTGTCTGATGGATGCGCCCTCCATTGGCGAGCTGGCCACGAGCCCGGTGCTCCTCACTGCGCCTCGCTGGGAGGTGCAGGCGAGGCCCAGGTGCTTCTCAGCACCACGTCCTGTCGGTTCGTGACAGTCATCACCTGTGACAGAAAAGTAGTGTCTCCTCAGAGGGGCATTGCATCAGACATAGGAAAGTGTTTAATTTAGCTTTAGATGCTTCTGGATTGATTTGCACTCACGGGAAAGAGTCTGGGTAGTTCATTCACCAAATAGGCACAACCTACTTGGGTTGAGAATAATGTTCCGTACCCTTCCTTTTCACTGGGTCAGCTAAACTGAGAGGTTCTGTGGTTCATACGTGTCCTGAGGTGTAATGTGAGCTGGTGACCATCAGGGCGAGAGTAGAGAGAATGAAAAAGTTCCAGCCGTGAGGTGGAGCCCAAAAGGTGCCGGCGGAGCTAGTGCTCAGGGAGGGAGTGGTGCTATGACCAGACAAGGCCGGCGCAGGCCGGACGGGCGACCAGAGCTGACGAGGGATAGTACCAGCTAAGCACCTGCCGGAACAGCGCAGTGCTCACCTTAGAAACAAAGGGAGCGTTACAGTGCCCAGTCTGGAAGGAACACATCCCTGCTCCACTTATGGCCCAGCCTTGGGGGTGGGGCCTGGCTTACCAACGAGGAGATGAAGACTGAGAGTCAGCTAATCGCGCTCAAGGTGACACAGGGAATAAAGTCAGAGGGGGGCTGGAATCTGACCCCAAATCAGCTTCCAAAGTGGGTTATTCTTAAACACTGTTTTCAGTCAAGTATTTTAGGAAATTTGCATTTTGTTGTTTTATATCAATACCTTAGGTTTGTAATTTTATATTCATAAGTCTTATCTAGTTTGTATCTCTGCTTTACATTTTTGTTTGTAATGGTAATTTTAAATAAGTACTATTGTAATAAAGAAATAACATTTTTCTTTTCACTTTTCTGTGCTAGACTGAAAACAGTTTGAGGTTGTCTACTGCCCATCAGTCTTTTTTCTCTTAATTTCTAAAGCAGAATCTAGTTTCTTCCTGGGCTCATAGTTTCTCCATTACTTGCTCTAGAATTTAGAATTTCATCCCATTTGGGTCTTGATACCAAACTCTGCAACAAAAAATACAAGTATATAGCCCTGGCCGGTTTGGCTCAGCAGTTAGAGCGTTGGCCCGCGGTCCAGAGAGACCTGGGTTCAGTTCCCGTTAAGGGCACGTACCTCAGTTGCAGTTTGTCCCCGGCCCTGGTTGGGTTGTGCAGATAGCAGCCACTCGATGTGTCCCTTTCACGTTGATGTTTCTCTCTCTCTCTCTCTCTTTTCCTCTCTCTCCCGCCCACTCTTATCTGAATAAAAATGGAAAAGTGTCCTTGGGTGAGGATAAAAAAACAAAACAAACAAAAAATACAGGTATTGCTTTCCAGACTGGTGAGAGTGTTCTTATTGCAAAAATAGATGTATGTCTTCAAAGCAGTTGAGTTTAACCTGCCTGCTGTGGCTCAGTTGGTTGGGCTATGTCCCGTGCACCAAAAGGTTGCTGGTCAGGGCACATGACTGGGTTGTAGGCTCGATCCCCAGTAGGGGGCGTGCAGGAGGCAGCCTGTTGATGTTCTGCTCTCACATCAGTGTTTCTCTCTTCCTCTCCCTTTCTCTCTTTCGAAAAACCAATTTATGAAAATCTTTTAAAAATGAAATAATCATTCTAACCTGCTGTATTTCCTTTCTGTTTTCAAACACAGCTAACAAGCACAAGCCGTGGCTCGAGCCTACCTATCATGGCATAGTGACGGAAAATGACAACGCAGTGCTCCTTGACCCCCCGCTGATTGCCCTGGACAAAGACGCCCCTCTTCGGTTCGCAGGTATGAGCCTGGTTCTATTTGCTCTCGATACGCCTGGACCGGGTGGGATGCTGCAGGAATGTTTCTCTCCCTTTCTCGAAGTGTTTTGATGACTAAGGGTGGTTTGCGGCTCCTGAGGCGCCATACTTTTTTCTGGTTAATTTTAATAGTTGGGACACCTGACCAAAAAAAGCCTGTAGTTTTGCTTGAAAAGCAAAGTATTTCATTGCATCATTATGTTGCTTGTCTTGATGTTATCAGACAGATAACACCTAGGCCGGTGTGTCTGAAAAAAATCGTGCGAACAGCGCGCCTGAGGATCGTGTTTAAAATGCAGATTCGACAGGCAAGGATCTGGGTGATCGTAGCTGGGGTCTTCCTGGACGACCTTGGTTTCAGTGACCTGAACAGACTAATTTGAAAATGTCGAGCAATCTTTTTAGAGGAGTCCTTTGGCTTAGATTTCACTTTCAATACATTTTTAAAGTGGAGGTATTTCATAAGATTGTAACCTGACTATAGCGACAAATCTGGGATTGCTGGGGATTTGCTGCTTTGCTGACATTTAATAGCACTTTGCACATCAGAGCGGTTCTTGCTTGAGTTGTATCCATAGTAACTCCCCTGACTGGTGGAGAATTGTGCCATGTCACCCTTTCCTTGCCTTGAGTCACAGTCGACTTGTGAAGTTGGTTGTTAAAGAGTAGTTGTTGCACCATATTTTTTCAGGACAAAATTTCTCGCGTTAGTGTGTGCTGTTTGCTTGGGGACCAATGAGAAAAATTCCATTAACTTGCATAGATCAGATGGTACCTTAATTTTACTGTGTGTAAACTGAGGGAAACGGATGGGTTTCATGCCATTTTTGGAAAAATAACCTGAGAACCAGCTTGTGCTGTTCGAGTCAGCAATGGGCACAGACCTTTCCAGTAGTTTTGCTTGTTTATTGGTTTTTATTTTAGTTTTTAACCCTCACCCGAGGATTTGTATTTTTTTTCCCATTTATCTTCAGATAGAGTGGGAGAGAGAGAGACAGAGACAGAGGGAGAAACATCGATGTGGGAAAGACACATGGATTGGGTTGCCTCCCGCTTGACCCCAACCAGGGCTGGGGACCAAACCGCAAGCAAGGTATGTGCCCTTGACTAGAATTGAACCCGTGACTCTTTGGTCCATGGGCTGACGCTCTAACTGCTGAGCCAATCCAGCCAGGGCTGTTTATTGGTTTTTAGAGGGAAATCCGATCAGATAGACAGGAGAGGAAGCTCCCAATGCCATGAATGCACACGGTATTTGTCTAGTAGCTGAGGTGATTCTCCTGTCTATTCCCTCCTTCCCCTGAATTTGAAATAATTTTTAGCATTGCATATCGGTGTCCTCTGGGACTAATAGATTTTTGAGTGTGTGTCTGCGCAGGGACACACAGCCCCTGCAGGCCATGTTCAGTTACATATATGTTCCTCTTTGGGGGAGTGATGGTCAGTCTCTGGAAACCACTCTAACCGGATTATCTAGCTTATGTTTCTGAGCGGGCTTACACATTCCTGGCATTTCCTGCATTCTGAGAAGTGATTGCAGTCGGGAGCTCTGTATTGACTCTCTCCGGCCTCTCTCTATTCTGAAGTGTCAGCTCTACACAGCCCTGTGTTTGTAGCTAGACCAGGGCCTGGGACTAGTTGACACTGTAAATATCGTAGGAGGAGCGCATGAGTTTGCCCAAGATCACACAGCTCATGAGTGATAGCGCCCCCTTCCCTCCAGGTGGTCCGGCTCCAGCCTCGATGTATAGGTTCACTGGCGGCTCTCAGGACATTATCTTTAAAACGTTAGAAACATCCTGGTTCGCAGTTTTACTTACCCCATCACAAGAATGTGTGGGCAGCCGCCGGAGACTGCTCGTCAAACTTCTGAAATAAGGACATGGGTGGCAGCTTAGTCACCAAAGTGCAGTATAAATTGTCACTAATCAGAAGTTCCTATTGAACACACAGGGTCTGGCCCCAATTGTTTTTTTTGTTGTTGTTGGATGAAATAGGAAAATAAAGTCTTTGTATTTGTCAAGTAGTTTAAGAAATTAAAATGATTAAATTTCTTATTCAACCACTTTTCCTTAATCTGCTAAAAGCCTGAGAGGAGGTGGGTAAGAAATAGTGTTGTCCATTTTGTGTATTTGATGGGGAACTCAGAACTTGAACCCCTTACACAGGCCACATTGTTGCCTTTTTGACAATTGTCCCTTCACCCCCCACGTCAGGTGCCAAGCACCTCACCTTGTCAGCCCCCCTTTTTCAGGCTTCTTTTTAGTAGGTGGTTTCATTCCAGCATCTTTTTCCTGATTTCCCAGACTGAGTACAGAGATTTTACAAGATTAGTTGAACAATTGTGATATAAGTGGAATCCAAAAGACATTTCAGGGTTAGAATGGAAACTTGATTCTCTTCAATAGTTTATTAGAACCAACACTGGCCTGTGAGCCTTTTCTCCATAGTCTTTGTCATTTATGTGACTGGAGCCCTGCGGCCAATGGGGCCAAGGGCCGCACACCTCCGCCCTCAGCGCCTCTGCCCTCAGTGTTGCCCTAGCACATGTGATGGGCTGACGTGTTTGCAGCAGCGGTGGATGTATTTGGTGAAGCCACATGAAATTGCCATTTTTATATGTTGAAACGATCAAAACATTTGAAAATATGGACTATTGGAAATTTCCTGTGCTCAGCCTAATTAATATAAGGCAGTGTCAGTAGAGTAGCAGACAGAAGTCAGTCACTGACTAGCGGGAACTCACTCTGGATGCAGCTGCCTCCAGGGATGGTTTGGGATCAGTAATCACTGACTATTAGATAACTGTGCTAGGTCTTTGGAGAATATAAAGAAGCATAAAAGTTGGCCCTTGTTCTCAAAGCACTGATAATTCAGGTCCCAGAAACCAGCCTGGGACCAGTCACCAAAAATAAGCATCAGCCTGGATGTCGGCTGGCGAGCGGGCACCATGGCCGAGTAAAGAGAGCGGGTGAGGCGGAGAGTTGGGTTAGCAGGGAGCTAACTGCTAAGTGGGAGCTGCTGCTGCTCAGCAGGGGTCCCTTTTCCCTGGGTCCAGCTCGGTGGGTCCCGGTACCGCGCCCTTCCCAGCCGAGCGCATGCACGACCCAAGCTAGGCTGACCAGATGCTCTCTCCTTGGCATGTGAATGTTGAGCAGAGAGACAAAGATGCTAATTAATACCAGTTGAGCTTGTGGTCCATCTGGGCTTGTTGTGGCCCCTGTTTCCTGGTCTCGAGCTGTTTCCAAGTCCCTTTCTCTGGCCTGCAGTCAATTTCATGAGCTCGTGATGGCTTTTCAGTGAAGTCCCTTTTGCCTGAGTTAGCTGGAATGGGCTTCTGTTGCTTGCAACCAGAGAAGCTAACTGTTGGAGCCGGCACTCGTGACCCCCATGAGCGTGCGGGCGAGGGCAGGGTGACCCGAGAGTGGGAGGCTGTCGGCCGGGCTCCGGAGGCACCCCTGCTCTCGAGGAAGAGCAGTGCAGTTTGAGGTTAGACCCGGGTTTGGAAGGAGACTTGGAAAGAAGTGAAGCCAGGTTTCTCAGAGGGATGGACAAGGAACATGAAGGCCAAACACTGTCAACCAGGAGCCCTGGACGTGACTTTGGATCTTGAGAAATCAAATCTGTACTATGTTGGGTTCATCTGTTGTTATAGTTTTATGTTTTGCATTTTAAAAGTTTGGTGGTAAAGTCCCTTTAGACTGTTTTAGATGATCTTAGGGGAGTGAGCAGGAGAGAGATGGGAGAGGTGTGGTCCCCTCTGGGGCTAGCGCAGCTGGAGAAGTTGTCCCGGAAACCTGGTGGGCATTCCAGCACAAGGAGAGTAGGGCTTCAGGTAGACTTATTAGCAGAGCAGGTGCACGTGGCCTGAAATGAGTGGGAAGGGGCCGGGCAGAAAAAGGACAGACTCTGACAGGTGATTCTGAGAGGCCTTCCTCGCAAAGGTTGAGAGAGGGTGAGTCCAGGAGAGAGGTCTGAGAATGCAGAGGGGAGGAGATGCACCTCTACAGGTAGTCACCACCATGTAACGCCACGTAATCGGTGCGTGTAGCTGCGTGTACACAGTTGTCCCGTACGTAACAAATAGACCTGTACATCGGTGGTAGAGGAGAGAAGGAAGAAGAGTGAGTCAGTGGCAACCTAAAGTTTGGAAAACCAGCTCCTGGGAGAGTGGGGTGTTGCTGATGGGAATTGGTCCCTGCTGTGGAGGAGGAGGGGCAAAAGCCGAGTGTCCTTTGAGAGACAGTAGGAAACTCACTGAAACATCTGAGGAATTTTTGTTAGCTCTGTGATGTTTCTGTAGTTATGGTAAAGAAAAAGTCTATCTGTTAGAGACATCTAGTGAATTTTGTATGGAAGAAACAGTCTAATGTCTGGCTTTAAAACCCTCCGGAAGCAAGGCGTTGGACAAATGAAGCAGAACTTCCTCCTGTCTTTCTCTTTCTCAGTGCCTCCATTCCCTGCGTGGCACCATCAGCCAGAACCCAGGGAGTCGCTCCAGAGCCCTTCGCTCTCCCTCTCCAGTTGTTACTGCGTCCTGTCCATCCTCCTAAAAGTCCCCGAGTCTTTCTTTTAGAAACTGCCGTAGTTTAGCCTTCATCAGATCTCATCTTGTCCACTCGCCCCCGGCCTTGCTGCACTTGGATTCGTCTTCCGCGTTGGTATTGGGCTCCTAGGTGGAGCACATAGATGGACCCGTGACGTGCGCGCCTGGCCTGTTTACAGGTGACGGCTGAGCCCAGGTGCATAGGGTCAGGCGTCCGGTCGGGAAGCCTGTGCTGCGCCAGCTCTGCAGGTGGCCACCTGGCCAGAGGGCTTATACGTCATCTAGGCAAAAGGACCCGGCCTGCCTGCCCATTTAATAAGTGCCCGTGGGTCTGAGGCACCAAAATCTGTTGATGCAGCCATTCGAGTAGCCAACGTAATAATCGTGTGGAAAAGATACAAATATATATATTTTGCTGTTCCCATTGTAAATGAATCGAATCTTTCAGAGAGCAATCTGGAAATACCTAATGGGTGTCCAAATAACTTATATTCTTATATTTGATGACCATACCTTTGAGACAACGATTCCTTCAGACGTTGTAGTGTAGATGCATATTCAAAGCTACAGTGCAGCCCTGGCCAGTTTGGCTCAGCGGTTAGAGCATCGGCCTGCGGTCCAGAGGAACCCGGGTTCGGTTCCCGCTAAGGGCATGTACCTCGGTTGCAGTTTGTCCCCAGCCCTGGTTGGTCGTGTGGGTGGCAGCCACTCGATGTGTCCCTTTCACGTCGATGTTTCTCTCTCTCTCTCTGTTCCTCTCTCTCCCTCCCACTCTACCTGAAAAAAAAAAAGGAAAAATGTCCTCGGGTGAGGATAAAAAAAAAAAGCTACAGTGCAGCCCCCCCACCTCCCCAAGGCTCCCCCGTGTCGGCGGAAGGCAGCTTCCTCCTTGCAGTTTCTCACGTGGAATCCCACAGCCTTGGCCTGACTGTCAGAGCACATCCCACATCTGACCACTTCTGTCCACCCCGTGTTCCCCTGCTCTGGCCTTCACCATCTCATGCCTGGCTTGCCCCAGTAACCATCGTTGCCCTCAGACAGATACTCAGCACAGCAGCCAGATGGAGACTCGGAATGGAAGAAACATGTCGTTTCTCTGCTCAGAACTCTCGGTCATTCCCTTCTCGCCTGGGGATAGGGTGCAGGTCTCGTGTAGCCAGCGGAGCTGCGGGGACCTCCGGGCTCCTCTGCCTGCAGTGCTCACCCAGGCATCACGTTTCCGTGGCTTCCGGTTTCCACTCAGGTGTCCTCTATCAGTGACGCCTCCCCGGAACACTGGGGTGTAAAATGAAGCACCCACTGCCCTCCCACGTCCACATTCCCCCTCCTGCTCCTCCCTGTCTGAAATCTCAGAGGCAGATTTCGGGAGTCTAACCTATTGGTAGATGGTTCTGCTTCTCACAGAAACCATCTCAAGGACATGGCCTGACTAATATCCAACAGTGCCTGCCGAGGGCGGCGTTGCCCGGGCCCGTGTGTGCCCAGGTGTTGCGTCCACCTGCCTGCGCACAGCCTTTGTCGGAAGCCACGCAGTAGCCGCGCAGTAGCCGCAGCTCCGCCGGCTCAGATCACGCAGACACCTCGGTGCTCTCCCCTCGGAGCAGTCAGCCCGGGTTGAAACCGAGGAGTTTTCTCTGAGGGAAAGCTGGCAGCTCGCCCTACTTTGAAATGCAGACTGTTACGCAGCTCAGAGGTGCGAGCCCAGTGCAGCATCAGCACGTTCCGGAGACAGTCTGCGTGTCTGTGCCCAGAGTGCTGCTCCTGTGTGCCTCTCGGTCAAGGCTGGCGATGAGGTGTCTAGGTTCGGGGCCCACCGGGTCTCACCTTTGCCACCGTAGTGGGAAGCGGCCTTCGACAATACAAAAACGAATGAACGTCTGTGTTCCAGTACAACTTTGCTTATGGCACCGAAATGTGAATTTCATACAATTTTCATATAATATTTAAAAAGATAAAAATAGCCCTGGCCGGTTTGGCTCAGCGGTTGGAGCGTTGGCCTGCACACCAGAGAGCCCTGGGTTCGGTTCCCGCTAGGGGCACGTACCAAAAAAAAAAATAACCGTTAGCACACAGGCTGTTCAAAAAGTGACACCGGTGGGTTTGGCCTGCAGGCCGTAGGTTGCCCACCGGACGGGGCAGTGCCATCCGCAGGCCGCTGCGACGCGGGCCGGGTTCGGTCCGCATTCTCCGTTCAGTGGTTACGAGGCACGTGTGGCTGTTGAAATGCGGCCAGTGCGCCGGAGGAACTGCATTTGTTTATTTTAACATGAATTTTAATTTAATTTGACACAGCCCGTGTGGCTGCGGCATTGGCAGCACAGATGTGTGGGTGCAGCAGGAACGCGGACAGCGCTGTCCAGGGCCGTGCGTGGACGGCCGAGAGCTGGCGCTGGACAGCGGTGGAGGGCTGCCCTCCGCCGGCAGCGTCCTGCCTCCGCGCCTGTGTTCTCCCCGGGTCCCCACTCACGCGGCCGGGCCAAGAGTGCGCCGTGGCTGCGCGCCATCCGGGCCACTGGGTCTCAGACCCTCAGGTCCAGTGAGGGGGCAAGTCACAAAAATTCTACACTGTCCGGTACATTTTCCAAACCTCAAACACAAGCACGAGGAAACAACACTATTTGGGGGTATACAAATATATGGTAAAACCATTTTTTAAGAAAAGCAAGGGGATTCAGGCTGTGAGACCCTTGGGAGAGCGAAGGTGCCCCGGTGAGGCCCCAGTGGTGGGGCAGTGGGGCGCTGCTCGTCTGGTGTCCTGGGGAGGGAAGGGGGTGTGTGGGCCCGCTGGCCCCGTGTTTCCACCGTGAAACGCCGGCCACTGTGGCGTCACCACCGTGACTACCGAATCTGGTTTCAGTTCCCATTTACGCAGATGTTCCGTTCAAAGAGGTGATTATATTTGTTGCCTTGGTTGCATTAGAACAAGATTAGATTAGAAAACACTGTTATTTATTCAGCTCAAGAACAAAGGATTAAAATAAAAGCACGGCTCCAACTGTTTGTTTCATTTACTCTAATCGTAAATTGAATGGTACCAGACTAACCACAGGAACTCACATTGAAAACAAAAATCTGAAAACTGAAGAACAAATAGGTGTCTGAACTAGTATCGTGAAAGCGTCCCTGTGAAGTCCTACCGCGTCTGAGGGTGTCAGGACGCTGCAGCAGTATTTCATGGGCAGGTCTGCGTGCTTTCAGAAAGTACGCAGTAGTTCATGGTAAGTGGGACTCAGAGACTTTTGTGAAGGTCCGGCTTTGCTCTAGCCCCTCCAGCAATTGGCTCTGAGCTCACTGTTCAGTGGTGTCAAGCTTTTCTATGTAACATGTGCATCTTTGACTTTTCTCCTTGTTGTTCCGTCTTCGTTCTTTCCTGTATTACTGACATGGGTTTATCTTTTCTCCCTTTAGAGAGTTTTGAGGTGACAGTCACCAAAGAAGGTGATAAAGGGTTCTTTCTATCCCTCCTATGAATATTAACCCACTAACTTTGTTTATAAAATTGGGAATCAGCCCTTAAACAGAAGAAGCTGTCATGTTCTTTTACCCTATTTATTCTCCTACTTTGTTTCTATTTTTAAAAATATTGATGGAAATTGTATGTAACCAAACCCTTGGTTAGAAATATCCGGAAATCAGACATCCATTTGAACTATATGGAAAATATTGTACTTTTTTTTCATAACTGAACTTAAGAGATTCACGTCATAACCATTTTCTATTAGTTGTAATTTTGGAAGAGGTCTGTCATATTTTTAAGTGAAATATATTTTGCGAAGTTTTATATATACATCGACACATTTCTATTTGTTCTCCCATGGGCAAGAATGGAACCTAGATTTTAACTCCTAGTTATGCTGGTGAGCCAACTTAGGTGACCCTAAGTTCCTAGTCAGGCTTCCTTTTCGGGTGTGATGGGGAACAGTCCGAAACAAGGGACAGTCTAGCAAATCTCCCCGTAATGGGCACTGCATCTCACTGGTAGACACTAGCTGTTGAAATGGATGCCTGAAAAGTTGGTATTTCTACCTTTCTTGTTCAGTAGTTTGCTTTGATTCCCTAATTTTAGCCAGGCTCATTGCACAGGAAGACTTGTTTCTTCTGATTTTTTTCCTGACAGACTTTCTGTAATTATGGTGCTGAACCTATATCTCACGCTTCTTCCTCTCTCAACACTTAACTGTGCGTGTAGCCTTCTCTCTGGTCCAAACCAAAATAGCTGCCCAGCTGTCCCCGGTAGCTGGGGCGGTTTCTCCGTGTTATCAGGCCTTGGCTGTTTGCTAATGAGACCACTTTGACCCTGGAGCTGACCTAAGTACTCCTGTGAAATGCCTGTCTATATTTTCTCTTTCTCTCTTTTGTATTCCTGCATGAATGGATGCAAAGTGAAACAAGTTGCTTGGAAAGCCAGAGCCTGCTTCTTTGTACTAAAGCCCCAGAACTTACCCTGTTACCAAGCACAAACGCCCCTGCTTTGTCCACAGACCCTCTCAACCCCTGGCTGCCGAATTGTGGTCTTTGATTTCTTTGGGGGGGAGGGCTGACTCGTGCAGAGGGTGCGAGTGGCAGAAATTCTAACCTGTGCTGCTTTGACTCCCCAGGTGAGATTTGTGGATTTAAAATCCATGGGCAGAATGTCCCCTTTGACGCAGTGGTGGTGGATAAATCCACAGGCGAGGGCCTGATTCGTTCTAAAGAGAAACTAGACTGTGAGCTGCAGAAAGACTACACGTTCACCATCCAGGCCTATGACTGCGGGAGGGGGCCGGACGGCAGTGCCAACTCGAAGAAGTCTCATAAGTAAGTAAGCTGGGCAGAGAGTGTGGGAGAAGACAGGCGTGACCGTTATTGCCCCAGGCCCCAGGACTCGGTGGTCTTTTGAAATGGAAGATAGTTCTCAGCCCTGGCCGGGGAGCTCACTTGGTCAGAGCGTTGTCCTGATGCGCCAAGGCTGCAGGTTTTCCTCCCTGGCAGGGCACACACGACTCAGCCAGTGAGTGCAGAAGTATATGGAACAACAAGTCAGTGTTGCTCCGTCTCTAAAAATCAATAAAAAATAAATAAAAGGCCCGGCCAGTGTGGCTCAGTGGATTGAGTGTCATCCCATGGACTGAGAGGTCCTGGTTCGATTCCTGGCCAGGGCACATGCCTGGGTTGCAGGCTCGATCCCCAACAGGGGGCGTGCAGGAGGCAGCCGATTGATATTTCTCTCTCACATCAATGTTTCCCTCTCTCTCTCCCTCCCTTCCTCTCCCTCTAAAGTCAATAAAAACATAATAAAAGAAGAAAACAGTGCTCAGTCGTCCATCATGACATAGCAGTTTGATTGGAGACCCTTGCACATGACTTGGCACACAGTAGTTTAGATGAATGTGAGTGATTGAATTCACCAAATACCCTAGTAAAGAAACAAAGGCCCTACAGTGAAAATACAAAAAGCCCACTTTTCCCTAGAAAGATATTTTGTAGTTATGTTTATCTTTTGTCTGTAAATTTGAGCTGGTGGAAGAAAGCGACTTGCGTGTCTGGCCCAGGGTGTGATTACATCCTTCCCACCAGTTGAGGATGCTGGTCTAGCGGAGAGGGCTCTGGGTAAGACATGGAGCTCGAATCTAGTCTTTCTTCTGCCACTCACCTGCCCTTTGTCATTAGGTCAACTCAATTTTGTTACATCTCAGTTTCTACTTAGTACATTGACTCAGGAAAGATGGGCAAGTGGGTGAGAGGATGTCATGTAACTATTGTGATGGATGGCTGGATGGATGGATAAATGGATGGATAGATGGATAGATGGGATGGATGGCTGTCTGGATGGAAGGAATAGATAGCTGTAAGGGATGGCTGGATGGATGGATGGTGTGGATGGATGGATGGGGTGGATGGATGGATGGATGGATGGATGGATGGGGTGGATGGATGGATGGGGTGAATGGATGGATGGGGGTGGATGGATGGATGGAGTGGATGGATGGATGGGGTGGATGGATGGATGGGGTGGATGGATGGATGGGGGTGAATGGATGGATGGGGTGGATGGATGGATGAATGGGGTGAATGGATGGATGGGGTGGATGGATGGATGAATGGGGTGAATGGATGGATGGGGTGAGTGGATGGATGGGGTGGATGGATGGATGGGGTGGATGGATGGATGGGGTGGATGGATGGATGGGGTGAATGGATGGATAGATGGATGGATGGGGTGGATGGATGAATGGGGTGAATGGATGGATGGGGTGAGTGGATGGATGGGGTGGATGGATGGATGGGGTGGATGGATGGATGGGGTGGATGGATGGATGGGGTGGATGGATGGATGGGGTGGATGGATGGATGGGGTGAATGGATGGATAGATGGATGGATGGGGTGGATGGATGAATGGGGTGAATGGATGGATGGGGTGAGTGGATGGATGGGGTGGATGGATGGACGGATGGGGTGGATGGCGTTGAGGTCTAGAGGGTCTTGGTGAACAGTGGGGGTGCGAGTGCCAATGAACCACTCCTTATACTTGTTACACACTGTTTTCCTTGAAAAGGGTCTTATTTTGGTCAGAGATCTTGTCTCATTCGGAACACGTCCTGATCAATAGCCCTTAAGACCAGCAGTTTTCTGTCTTGGTCTGACTGTGCCAAGCTGGGGAGATGGAACCTGGCAGCATGGGGTTCGTCAGGAAGGGCAGCATTGAGGTCACGTTGAGGCCCCTTGTTTGCTGAATCAACAGTGGGTGGTGTCCCAGGCACACGCCGCGAATGGTCCCTGTCCATGGAAGCAGGACAAGCCTCGTTTCAGTGCTCACCAGTTCCCATCTTCCAGCTTGTTCCTCACCCCTTCTTCCTTTGGCTCTAGTTGTTTCTGTGTTTTGCAACAAAATATTTTTAACTTTGTGATAAAGAGAGCTAACCCACATCTGATATAGTTTATCCCCTTCTGCATGCCCTGTCCAGTGTTGTCAGATAGCATCCTGGGTGTCTCTTATTTTATGTTACTGCTTTTTTGTTTTTTTATATCCTCACCTGAGGATATGTTTGAATTAACTTATAAGGGTGGGGGGCAGAGAGAGAGAGAGAAAGAAACATTGATGTAAGAGAGAAATATTGATCGGTTGCCTCTTGTACGTGCCCCGACCATGATTAAACCCACAACATAGATATTGCCCTGACCAGGAATCAAACCTGAAACCTTTTTGGTACATAGGACCAACCAACTTAGCCACCTGTCCAGGACTGTGTTACTGCTTTCTTACCAGCTGCCTTATTCCTAGGACCTGGAAAAATCAACCCAAATTTTAACTTTCCTGTTGTCTCCACGCTAAACTAAAAACAATGAATAGTTTAATTTTTTTTATCTTTTTTTTTTTTTTATAGAGAGAGAGAGAGAGATAGAAACATCGATGAGAGAGAACATCGACTGGCTGCCTCCTGCATGCCCCCCACTGGATGCCCCCCACTGGGGATTGGGCCCACAACCTGGGCATGTGCCCTGACTGGGAATTGAACCGGTGACCTCTTGGTGCAGGGGTCAACGCTCAACCACTGAGATACACCGGACAGGCATGAATAGTTTAATTTTTAACTTTTATCTTTACTATAAAATTTAATAAAAGGTATCAGGAAAAGAAAATTTAAAAATAGGGCAGAATTTGGGGGGGATAAAAAGATAATGCAGTTCTTTTTCCCCTTCCAGGGCAACTGTCCACATCCAGGTGAACGATGTTAATGAATACGCACCTGTATTCAAGGAGAAGTCCTACCAAGCGACAGTCGTCGAGGGGAAGCGGTACGAGAGCATCCTGAGGGTGGAGGCCGTGGACGCAGACTGCTCCCCTCAGTTCAGCCAGATCTGCAGCTATGAAATCGTCACCCCGGACGTGCCCTTCACTGTCGACAAGGACGGTGAGAACGGGGCGGCCGCTCCCCACTACGGGGCAGTCCATGCAGGCTGTCCCTTCTAAGGGGCAGTCCATGCAGGCTGTCCCTTCTAAGGGGCAGTCCATGCAGGCTGTCCCTTCTAAGGGGCAGTCCATGCAGGCTGTCCCTTCTAAGGGGCAGTCCATGCAGGCTGTCCCTTCTAAGCCAGCCAGTCTCAAGACTAAACTCGATGTTTCAGTGACTCACAGATTGGACACCCAGTCCATTTGGGCAGCTTGAACAACAGGCAGTTGTGTCTCAGTTCCGGAGGCTGGGAAGTCCAGGTCCGGGTGCAGCCCATTCAGGGTCCCGCGTTCCTGGCGTACAGAGGCCACCTCTCTGTGTCTACGGGGCAGGAGAGACAGAGCTTTCTGGTCTCCTCCTCCTCTGATAAGGCCTCTAATTCCAACATGGGGACTCCCCCTCATCACCTCCCCGAAACCCAAGTTCCTCCCAAAGGCCCCACTTTCTAAAATGGCCACACCGAGGGTTAGGACTCCAACATGTGAACTTTGGGGGACAGGAACATCCGGTCCATAGCAGAGACCTAGGGTGTGTGTGTTTCACGGTTCAGTGTTTATTCTGTTCCCTGAAAGCCTGTGACCTCTGCTGGGGGTTCCTTTTCCTTTCCCATAAGTCTAGTAAATCCCCTGCCTATCATGTCGCTGTTTTTATCTTCTGAACTCTCAGTCAGCATGCATCTGGATGAGGCTTGCAGGCCCCTCCATCCTCAGTCGTTGGATAGAATCAGCTCATTCTAGAGTTTAACTGCCTGATGAGGTTATGGCTTCAGGATGATGTAGTGTCTCCATTGTTAATGCACAGTCCAGAATCTGCCAAAATTACCGACACGGCAAGCACTTTGCAGACACCTTTGCTCAAGGTCAAAAGCAGGCTTCGCTTCTAGTGGGTGGGGAGGAAATCTCTCTCTCTGTCATAAAGTAAACTTTTAGCAAAAAGTATTTAGCCCTGGCCAGTTTTGCTCAGTGGTTAGAGCATCAGCCCCTGGACCAGAGAGACCCGGGTTCGGTTCCCGCTAAGGGCATGTACCTCGGTTGCAGTTTGTCCCCGGCCCCAGTTGGTCATGTGAGTGGCAACCACTCGATGTGTCTCTCTCACGTCAATATTTCTCTCTCTCCATTCCTCCCTGTCTCCCTCCTGCTCTATCTGAAGATAAACGGGGAAAAAAAGTCCTCGGGTGAGGATAAAAAAACAAAATAAAAAAAGAAGTATTTAAAGCAGCTTGCTCTTATATTTAATATTTGAAGAACTTGAATTACTTTATCTTTTTTATTCTGCTATATGTAAATTTTGAAGTAAATATGAAAACAGTCCGAAACTGTCTAAGAATAAATGGAGGTGAGCTGCGCGGGCTCCGCGGCGGGCTTGCTGTTCGAGCGCAGGCGGCGCGCTGTCTCAGGTGGTTCCCGTCAGTGGGTCCAGGGCCGGGACACGTGCAGTTCGAGTTCCGGCAGAGGGCGGAAGTGAAACCAGCCTGGGTCTGGGTTCTCACCGCTGCTTTTCCCTGGAAGGTTACATAAAGAACACGGAGAAGCTGGACTATGGGAAGGAACACCAGTACAAGCTGACCGTCACGGCCCACGACTGCGGGAAGAAAAGAGCAGCCGAGGACGTGTTGGTCAAGATCAGCATCAGGCCCAGCTGCACCCCTGGGTGGCAAGGTGAGCCCCTTCGCATCTCTCTGCTCACCCCTGTTCCTACGTCTGTACGGCACAGAAACCTGTGTGTTTCCTCCTCTCCTCCCACTGACTTGTGGCCCACGTAGGATGGAACAGCAAGGTCGAGTACGAGCCGGGCACCGGCGCTTTGGCCCTCTTCCCGAACGCCCACCTCGAGACCTGTGAGGAATCAGTGGCCTCGGTGCAGGTGAAGCTGGAGCTGGAGACCAGCCACATAGGGAAAGGGTGTGACCGCGACACCTACTCTGAGCAGTCCCTTCACCGGCTCTGTGGTAAGGAGCCAGAGGCACCCCCATGTGGAAGTGTGTGTGTGTGTGGGGGGGTGTTCATGGTCATTACCTAGAACAGACTCTGACTTTCTGACGTGGCTGTTGCTGCCTCTCCGGCTAATTGTCCTACCAGATGGGGTACATTCCCCATGAAAGTCTGTTGAAAATGTTATTTTATGTGCATTTTTTAAAATACGTTTTTTAAAAATTGATTTTAGAGAGAGAAGGAGAGATAGAAACATTAATGAGAGAGAAACATTAACATCGATCGGCTGCCTCCTGTACGCTCCTTGCTGGGCATTGAGCCCGAGACCTCTCGGTGCATGGGATGACGCGCAAACACTGAGCCACCCGACTAGGCTTATGTGCATTTTTAAGAATCACTGATCTGAAGACTGTTTTTCCGACATACATTGAGAATCATCAAAATAGAAATTATATACGTGGAGGGAGTTTTAAATGAAACGAGATGTTTATTTGGGGACGGAAGAAAAAACTACAGGTAAGTGCTATATGGTGAATAAGCAAATGGGAAAACGTGTCGTGGCACCTCCCAGTGATTAATATACCAAAGTGTTTTACGACTCTGAGTCCAAGTATTCATAACCATGTACCCAATCCATGTAAGTCAAGAGGTCTGGAATGTTTTCTGTATTGAATTATGTATATAAGAATAATGTATAAAACTTACCTTCTTGTAATGCCATTTTTTTAATGGTATTACATGAACATTTTCTCAGCAGAGTAGTGTAAAGGTGGGAAGAAGGGGAAGAGTGTTATTGGTCAGTGCTCCCTGTATGCTGGGTGTCTCCGCGAGTTGTTTCATTGACTTCCCATCGGGCCTACGACGGAGGCAGCAGTGGCCTCGTCTTTCAGAGGAATTGAGACTGAGCGAGACCAAGTCCTCGCCCAAAATCACACTTTCAGGAGGAAGTGGCAGAACGGGAGTGTGGACCAAGGTCAGATATTATTCTAGTGATCAGGTTATTCCAGCCAAATCATGTAGCTCCTAGGAATTGAGACGTCAAGGAGAGCGTGGCTGGGAGCGCTTGCAAAGTCTTATACGGACAGATTGTTTTAAAAAGGGAGCTTGGCCCGACTGGTGTGGCTCAGTGGACTGAGCGTTGCCCCATGGACTGAGAGGTCCCGGTTTGATTCCTGGCAGGGCACATGCCCAGGTTGTGGGCTCAATCCCTAATAGGGGGTGTGCAGGAGGCGGCCAAAGATGTTTATCTCTCTCCCTCTCTCTCAAAAATCAATAAAAACATATTTAAGAAAAAAAGTAGTGCCCTGGCCGGTTTGGCGCAGCGGTTGGAGCGTCGGCCTGCGGTACTGAGAGACCCGGGTTCGGTTCCCGCTAAGGGCATGTACCTCGGTTGCAGTTTGTCCCCAGCCCTGGTCGGTTGTGCGGGTGGCAGCCACTCGATGTGTCCCTTTCACATCGATGTTTCTCTCTCTCTCTCTGATCCTCTCTCTCCCCCCCACTCAACCTAAACAAAAAATGGAAAAATGTCCTCTGGTGAGGATTAAAAAAAAAAAAAAAAAGAAAGAAAAAAAGTAGTGTGTAAAATAGCTGATAATTTTTTCATGCTTTTTTTCCCCTGGCTTAGTAATTCCATTTCTAGGAGTTTATTCTAAGGGAGTGATCATGGAGACACGCAAACGTGTTCATCAAGGCAAGGTTTATCTTAGGAAAAAATGTGGGACAACCTCAGTCCGCCAGGGAGGTCGGTTCAGTCAGTTACGGTGTATCTGTGTGATGAACTGCTGGTCAGACATTTTCCTTCAGGCTCTAGAAGGAGATGGGTGGGAATGCACGTGTGTATGTGCGCATGACTCCATTTCTACAACATGTACATATTCATAAAGGACTAGAAGTGCTTGTGTGCAAATGTGAATTGTGGCTTACAGGTAATGCTTCTTTTTTCTTCCTAGCTTTTAAACAAATATCCATGCTTATTATTTATGAACTTTTCTTGTAATAAAAGCCCTTCCTTTTGAGAAAAATAAAGTGGATCTAGTGACTGTACAAACCCTGAGACAAGGATGGTGATCAGCGTGGCTTTGAGGGCTGTGCCTTTGAGGCTGCCCACGCTGCGTACCAAGTGTCACTGTGGTGCTCTAGGTGCAGCGTCTGGCACTGCGGAGCTGCTCCCTTCCCCGAATGGCTCCTTGAACTGGACCGTCGGCCTCCCCACTGACAACGGCCACGACAGCGACCAGGTCTTTGAGTTCAATGGCACTCAGGCGGTCAGGATCCCCGATGGCGTCGTTTCTGTTAACCCGAAGGAGCCCTTTGCGATCTCTGTGTGGATGAGGCACGGGCCTCTTGGCAAGAGGAAGGAGACGATTCTCTGCAGCTCAGACAAAGCAGGTCAGCGTTGCTGGGGAGGGTGGTGCTTCTGTGTCTACCACGGTGGCTGTGGACACCTTCCCCGGAGGTCCCAGGGGCTGATTGGTTACATGCATCATTCTGTGTCTTGCACCAGGTCACCTGTCAGTACTACCATCGCCCTGTGTTTGGGCATTTGAAGTAGAAACCCAACTGTGTTTGTTTCTGACCCTGCCTTGGCCCAACTGGGGAGTTCATTTATGTTGATAAAACCGTCTTCAAAATCCATTGAAGAAATAGCTTTTATTTCTCCCTCAGGTCTTAATTTGGCAATTCACCGGTTACATTTCTCTTTGCAGATATGAACCGGCACCATTATTCCCTCTTTGTCCACGGCTGCCGGTTTATTTTCCTCCTCCGTCAGGATCCTTCGGGAGAGAAGAAGTACAAACCTGCAGAATTCCACTGGAAGTTGACTCAGGTGAGCGAATGGGAAACTCGCCGACTCTGCCCTTTCCAGAGACGAACAAGGTGTGCCGACCTCACCCGGGCCTGGCTGCTTCTGGGCAGGGATTCTTATGGTTCTGGTTCTGCGTCTGTGCGTCACAGGAGAGCAGATTAAGTCCTCTGAACTCCTGTCCACTGAAGGCCTACGTTATTTTTACATATATGTATTTTATACATGAAATAGTAATATAAAGACATTATATTTTAAATGCAAAATACCATGTTATAACTTTCTAAAAAAGCAGCCCTTGCTTAAAAGTTGGGATTGAGATCCTTGCGTTTGCTCATTCATCATTTAAGGCTTTGCCTCCCAAACGGTGCCGAGAGTGTTCACATTCTCAAGGCACCAGCAAGCTTGACGTCTTTCGGACGCAGCAGGAGCCGCCAGCTGGAGGGAGTTTCCGGTGCTAAGGCGGCTCCCATGACACCCCTCTGGACACAGGCATGCCTTTCCCAGCAGCTGGGCCAGAACGCACTCGGTGCGGCCACAGTTCTCACTTAGTTCGTTCCGATGGCTGTTCGAGAAGCAATGTTTTTGGTTTGTTATTTGTTCAAATAGAGTGGGAGAAAGAGAGAGAGAAACATCGACATGAAAGGGACACATCGAGTGGCTGCCACCCACACAACCCAACCAGGGCCAGGGACAAACTGCAACCGAGGTACGTGCCCTTAGCAGGAACTGAACCCAGGACTCTCTGGACTGCAGGCCGATGCTCTAACTGCTGAGCCAAACTGGCCAGGGCACAAGAAGCAATTTGTTTGAAAAACTGAATCTTTTTTTTTTTTGTAAATAAACGTGGATTACTTTATTGTAAGAGTCACAACTGCAGGGCTACCCCGCACCCCTTGCGATGATGTGCTGGTTCCGTCGGAAGGCTCCCCGCAGACCCCTCCGCACCGAGGGCCCGGGGCTGCCGCAGCTGCTGCCCTGCAGGCTGTGGGGCGTCAGGCAGCCCCTCCCAGGCTCTCCGCTCACTTCCAGAAGCTCCAGAACCGAGGACGACACCTGGGCTGGTCCAGCAGCCCCCACCTGTCCTGAAGGAGTCCTGGGGTGACTGTGCCACACTTGCAGTCCATCCCACGGAGCGGCTGCACCAGGCCAGGCCCACGCCCCTCCTCGGCCTCTGATCTGCCTTTTCCACTCATCCCTGTGCCAGCAACCGGCTCCTACCTCCCGCTGCAGGGCGCATGACAACCTGGTGACCGGAGGGCCGCCAAGAGCTGGGGAAGAAGCAGGAGCTTTGACCCGGGGGGGTTCAGGCTGCCAGCACAAACCAGCCTCCCCGCACCCGCGCCCAGTGTCAGGCCATCAGTCTGCAGACGTTCACGGCCAGAACGCTGAGCGAACACCAGCCTCTCTGCTCTCTGCCACCTCATGACGCAAATGGGGCACTGCAGCCACACCTGCAACGAATCATCATTTTTTTTCCATTGGAAATAATGTAAATGAAATAAATCCATTCCAGACCCCCAAAAGCAAAAAAAAAAAAAAAAATCCACAAAAATATTCACAGCACAATTTCCTGAGATGTTAACAACTTGCAGTTTAGCAGTAAACTGACTCATACTCAGGCATTCTCTCCTGTTTGTCACCTGAGAGACTGTTGGCTGATCATACAGGTATTAGTGTGAAAGGGTTGTCGAGTCGAGAACTGAAGTTTTGTTTGACAGCTGAGACATTTTTTTTTGTGAGCAACTTGGTTGAGAACCGAATTGTTCAAGATGGGAGATGTTTGCCCAGCCAGTGTGGCTCAGTGGTTGAGTGTCGACCCGTGCACCAAGAGGTCTCTGGTTTGATTCCCAGTCAGGGCACGTGCCCAGGTTGTGAGTCAAATCCCCAGTGGGGGGCATGCAGGAGGCGGCTAGTCGATAGTCTCTCATTGATGTTTTTCTCTCTCTTTCTCCCTCTCCCTTCCTCTCTCTCTCAAATCAATAAAGAAAAATAAATTAAAAAATTTTAAAAGATGGGAGATGTTTGAAAACCGAGGTTTGACTACTTTCAAAAGACACAGTTGGTCAGAATGACTTGTTTTCTAGCATCTTCATGGTGTTAAAATAGATGCTTCCCGCCCTCTGCCGCCCCAGGATCAGAAGCCCACTGCTTTTCCCCACCTGCTCACAGTTCAGGGCTAAGTGGTCACCTTGTCGCCAGGGTTGCCGTGGGTGTTGGATGCTAAGTACAATGTTACTCTGCTGCCGCCCTGGAAACCTGCAGTACTTATAAACCAGGGTGTGATAGAAGCTGCTTTTTAAATTTTTTGTTTTTATACTTTTTTTTCTTTATTGATTTTAGAGAGAGAGGAAGGGGGGAAAGAGAGAGAGATAGAGAGATAGAAACATCGATGAGAGAGAACATCGATTGGCCACCTCCTGCATGCCCCCCACTGGGGATCGGACCCACAACCTGGGCACGTGTCCTGACCAAGAATTGAGCCCGCGACCTCTTGGTGCAGGGGTCGACACCCAACCACTGAGCCACACCGGCTGGGCAAAGCTGCTTTCTGAAGGAGCTTCTCCCATCAGAACTTCTTTTAAATAGAGACTTAAACTAAAATTACGGTTTTATCAATCTCACAAGTGAACTACTGCGTGGTTCCTTTGTTTAGAAATATTTCATGTAATGTGTGTACATATATAATAAATATACAGTGTTAAAGGGTTAATTTTTTTCTATAATTTCAACTAATTTACATTAGTTGCAGCTGCTTTTTTAGGGAGTATGCTTTGGTAACTTCATTTATTCAGATGTCTCGGGTCTCGATTTCACATTTGTTTCTTGCAGTTTAAATTGGGTAAGCTTTTTCAAAGAACATTTAAAACAATTTTATCCCACAACATCTCTTTCTCTGTGTTCTTGAGTGTCTGCCTGTTCCGCTAGAGCCAGAAGTCAGGGGACGCCAGACCTGCAAGGGCCTTGGCGTCTGCAGACCACTGTCCCCCCGACAGCCAGGGAGACACTCTGGAGATGCGCCTTCATGATAGGAGAGGAACTCAGCTTAATTTGGCAGCTGAGCTTATATTCCTATTTACGTAGATCATCAACTCTGAGTGGGAAAGGAGAATACATGTACCAGTGTGCCTTCCGAGAGGAGGTGTGTGCGGCTTCGATGCAGACAAGGCGTGTCAGTGTGACCCCATGGCAGGCTGCGGCAGGGCCGTCCATCCTGCGATATGGGACGTTCGCGCTCAGCGGAAGAGGGTTGAGCAGTGCCCCCTGGTCTGACATATCCTAGAGACGATAGTGTTGCCTTGGCCTTTTTGGTGAGATGTTGGGTGAGGTGTATTTTGTTGTTAGATACTTTTTAAAAATCTTGTTCTTTCTAGGAAGACACGTATTTCTTCTCAGTGACTTGTCCTCCATGTGCGGTTGTATTGCTGTCACTGTGGTGACTCTGGGTGAGAGGGAGGTGGGCCGTCACGCGCTACTCCTCCTTCCGCCTCTCGTAGGTCTGTGATGAGAAGTGGCACCACTACGTCCTCAACGTGGAGATCCCAAGGGTCACGCTCTACGTGGACGGTGTTTCTCACGAGCCCTTCTCGGTGACCGAAGACTTCCCGCTTCACCCAGCCAAGATCGAGACTCAGCTTGTGGTCGGCGCCTGCTGGCAAGGTAACAGTCCCGAGCACCCCTTGCCTCCCGGGCTCGGGAATGAGATGAGTCCCGTCTGCTCTGCTGGTGGGAGCAGGCTGTGCCCAGTACCTCCCCCTCCTTTCCCTCGCCTTCTCGTCCTTCCCGGGCATCGCTCGCAGGGCATTGCTGGAGCCCGCTCCGCGGCGGCCCTGTGGATGGGCGCTCCCTGAAGTTCAGGGGCTGGGAGGGAGGGAGCATTGCACAGCGGGAGACTGTAATTGAGGCACATTCTGTGAATTAATCCGTTTGATGAAAAGTTAATGAAAACACGGAGGCGACAGGCTTCAGCCAGAGGACTTCCAGAGTGGTCAGCGCTTGACAGCCTGGTGGGAGCGCCTCCGACAGGCGCTGCGCTTGCGAGATGCACGGACATGCTGCTGGAGCACCGGGAAGGGCCATGGTGCCATTTATCTGCGCCAAGTGGCAGCTCCGTGCCAGTTCCTTTGCATAAGTGTCTCGTTATCCTTGTGTGAGTCTGTGGGGAGGAAGCTGTTTTTATAGCTGCAGAAACAAGCTCCGAGAAGTAGTGAGCCCGTGTTCCCAGCTGGGTCCTCGTGGAGCAAGGATTTGAGCCCCTGAAGCTGGTGCGTCCAGGAGGTGTAACCCTTTCTGTGCCATGGAGCCCTTCGGTGGCCTGGGGAAGCGTGTGGGCCCCTCAGATAATTTCGTATTAATCTATGAAATAGAATACATAGATTTTCCCAGGTAACCATTAAACTGAAATGTAGTTACCAAAGCACAGAAAGACAGGTGTGTGCATGGCGTCACCTGTGCCTCGCAGCAGGCCCCGGGCTGCGTGGCTTCAGAGCGGCAGGGGCGGTGCTGGCCCAGTGATGTCTGCGGCGCCGGGACAGGCGCAGTTTCTGCCGACACCGCTGTGGTTGGTGGCTGACCGTTTACAACCAAAAGAGAACTAAATCTGAGAAGTTAGTGAAGGGACCCCTCAGCCTGCCCTCGAGGTCACAGGCCCCGCAGCAGCCCTCGCACTCGGCCGTGAGCCGTGTCACTTCAGGGCGTCACCGCCGTACAGACACCTGCTAGGCAGGCCTTTTAGTTCCTCCCTGTGGAAGCGCCGTCGGCCCTGAGTTAGGTTAGATGTTCGCGAATGAGCCCACTTTCTAAGACGGCTGTGTCTTTTACAGGAATTTGAATTTCATGATTTTCCTGCAGATTTTTTCCATTGAAAAGGAGTAAGACAGTAATTTAGAGTGAATCTCTTTGGCAAATTCCCAGATTTAATTTTGGTGAAAATTCATCCATTGAGACCAAGGGATGAGGAATAAATTATTAGGGATACAGGAATTTTTTAGTTGCTATTCTTAAATTCTCAGTTCGAATTTGCTTCCCAAATTACACAAAAATTTCTGGAAAACTATTTTACAACTAAAAATACAAGGACAAACATAAATGTTGTTTTATTTTCTGGGAGCCTTGTTGCTTGGGTTAAAATAGACCATCCTGACACCCTGCCTTCCTTAGTTCCTGTTATGGCACAGTTCTGCCCTCAAAACGCCAATTTCCACTTCCTTTTTTTTCAATCCTCACCTGAGGATACTTGTTTCCATTTATCTTCAGATAGAGTAGAGGGGAGAGAGAGAGAAATATCAGTGTGCCTCCCACATGACTCCGAGGCACATGCCCTTGACCGGACTTGAACCGCGGGCCGATGCTCTAACCGCCGAGCCAAACCGGCCATGGCAGTTCCCACTTCTCTCTTTCTGCCTTCGTCCTCAGCATCCTCGGCCAGAAAAATCGGCCTGAATTCCCAAATCAAACACCAGTTTTATAAAATTTGGTTGACAGGGAGGAAGCTCTCCTCTGTCCTTCCGGTGGATTTGAACTCTCTTCCTTACACACTCGCCACGAGAGCCACGGCTGATGGTGTGTCGAGGTCACAGGAGCCTCGGTGCTCTGGCTCACCGCCCCCGCTGCCCTCCCCACCCCTGTGTGCCCCGAGCCACCGCGGGGCTGTGCACACAGATAGGGCTCCCACACCGTGTTCTGGACGGTGGGCGTCCTGACTCCGTCGCTGGGTGTGCCTCTCTGCTCTGGCGCTGTGCTCGGGCCACTGGACCTGGAGCTCCAGGAGCTGTGTGCAATCGGAGCCCCGGGCCCGCCTTGGATGAATCCGGTTTCTCTGGGTGAATTCCTTAACCTCTGCCTCTTCCTTCCTGCTCGGGAAAAGTGGAGGAAAATGCCTTCTTTTCTCTCACTTAGAGGTTTAAGTCTAGACTGATGCGAACTTGTTTTGAACTTTCAAAAAAGATGTCCTTTTACAAGTTACTGGACCCCAGCCTGTGGACACCTGCGTGTCCCTGGTAGGAAGGACAGTGCTTCGGGTCCGGGCCGGGTGTCACTCATGTCTGGTTCATCCCTGCAGTTCGTGTGAGCCCCTCCTTACGTCCGGCCCAGCGGACTCCTTGCGGAGACACGTGAGCTCAGTGCATGTGCTCTGACTCCTCCTCGTTGAGTCCAGCCTACGGTTTGGCCAGGGGGAGTGAGAGGTGGACCAGAAGAGTACGGGAAGTGTGGGGTGGGAGGCACCCTCTGGGGAAAGGTTATCAAGTACAGACTTGCTTCCAGGTGCAGTATGTCCGCAAGGCAGAGGGATGCGAGGGGAATTTTTCAAAACGAATTCCTAAGGTCCAGTGTGCAGAGCCTAACCTCGTGGTCTTTCTCTGTTGTCTCTGTCTTGCTTCTCTGCAGAGTACTCGGGAGTTGACACTGACAATGACACTGAGCCTGTACCTGTGGCCTCGGCAGGTTGCTGGATTCCCCTCTTGGTTCACTGTTGTGTTTCACTTAACACGAGACATCGATTCATTGCACATTTTGCATGGAATGTCCAAGTTGCATTTGGTCCCAGACACCATCTTAGCAGCTGCTTTGCGTGCACCCCCCCCCCCCCCCCATGGCTTCAGGGGATTTCCCTTTTCTTCCCACTCTGAGCTCCGTTACAGAGAGCCAATGACTCATTCATGCACTAATGGGATTTTTATTTTTCTCATCCAATTTTACCCTGATCCCCCTACATGAGGCTCCTCCCTGCCCAAGTCTCCGGCGCCAGGTTTAGGGCACCTCCTGGCTCTCAGGTGGCTGAACCATGAGACAAGAAAAGATTTGTTTCTAGATCCTAACCTGACTGATGCCAAATTTTAAACATAGGTTCGTAAGAAATCTCGGTCCCTAGCGATGGTTGATAGTGCTGTTTGGTGTCCTTATCAGGGGTGAGACATGCTTTTGAAAACTGGTCTCTCCTCTAGTCCGTGTAAGAATAAGACTCGCTGTCACCTGTGCTTTCTGTCAAGGGCCAGTTTCTGGGTGTTGGTTTTTCCTCTGACGTCCGCACTTCCCGGACACCCTCAGCTTTAGGAGGAGGCGCGATGGCTCCCCACAGCCCCCTGAAAGGCCTTGCCCCAGGCCTGTAAGAGCAGGCTGGGTTATAAGCACCCTTTTCTTTTTCTAGGCATGCTGTGTGGGTTCACTGCCATGTTGGTCTGTGTCCCAGAGTTTGCCCAGAAAAAGCAGTCCAGAGTGTGAACCAGCTGGTTGACAAGAGGCTGTGCTATAGCACATGTCACTTGTGCACCATGGTGACAGGTGTGGGCTAGGCCACTCTCACCAATGAGTGGCCAGATGTGTGGGGACACTTGGGACCTCTTGGCTTCCAGGCTTCGGGCGAAGGACCCGAGTCCTCTGCTCCAGGCCATGTGCATGATCACACACACGTTAATTTCTTCATGTAGACGCAAGGCTAACAGAACTGGTCCGAACTAACCCGCATGTCCATCCATTATGCTGCCACCAGTAACAGTGCATTGGGAAAGGAAGCGGGGGGCTCTGGACTGCACCCCTAACCGCCTGTTTTCCCCCCACCCTGTTCCAAAGGTGGTGACCTGCACATGACCCAGTTTTTTCGAGGTGATCTGGCTGGCCTAACGATCCGGTCTGGCAGACTCACTGACAAGAAGGTGATCGATTGTCTGTATACCTGCAAAGAGGGGTTAGACCTGCAAGTCCCGGAAGACGGCGGCAGAGGCGTGAAGGTAACGCGTCCGCCTGCGCAGTGGTGCCGGCTTCTAAACCACACGGGTGGAGGCTGTTGGCAGAGGTTGGTCTGTGACTGATCCTGAACTCTTTCCCTCATAACACCTCTGGCCCAGAGCTGTGGGTTTTTTCTCTCGTCCCAGCCAATTCCCTAGCTCTCTGGACACCAGCTCTCCAGGTGTGCAACAGCTGGCGAAGGGCTCAGTCCCACCAGGCTGCCCCCACTTCCGGTGCCAGTTGCAAGAATCTGGCCCTTGCATGGCCTGTACTTCTGTTTGACTTGGCTACGAAGTTGGGGGTTCCTACAATCTTCACACCTTCCTGCTCTTTAGGTTCAACAATTGTTAGAACTGCTCAGAAAACTGTTTACTGTTACCAGTTGTTTATAAAGGTTACAACTCAGGAAAAGCCAAACGGAAGAGAGTCACAGGGCCACGGTGAGGGCAGGTGCGCGAAGCTTCCCTGGTGTCCAGAAGTCTCCCTGCGGCACCTCCTGTGTTCACCTGGAAGCTCCCAGCCCTGTGTGCAGGGTTTTTATGGAGGTCCCATCACGTAGGCATGGTTGACTGTCACTGACCATTGGTGATCAGTTCATCTCCAACCACTCGTCACATGGTTGGTTCCCCTGGCAACCAGCCCCTTTTCTGAAACTATCTAGGACCCCACCAAGAGTCACCTTGTTAACTACACTCTGGGCTGGTTGGAAGGGACTTAGGAATGAATAATAAGAGCTGCTCTGGTCACTCAGAAAATGCCTAGGGTTAAGGAGTTCTGTGCCAGAAGCCAGGGCCAAAGACCAAGTGTATTTCTTACACCACATGCGTTTGCGCCTTAGAAGTACTTTGTAGAAGAGGGCCTTTTTCAGTCCTCACCCGAGGACATTTTTTACTTCAGGGAGAGAGAGAGAAACATCAACGTGAGAGACACATCGACTGGTTGCCTCCCGCACGACCCCATCCAGCGCTGGGGACGAGCTGGAACCAAGGTACAGGCCCTTGACCAGAATCAAACCCGGGACTCACTGGTCTGTGGGCCGACACTAACCACTGAGCAAACCTGCCAGGGCCAGAAGAGGGTCTTGAGCAGCAGAAGTACGTGAGTTTTCTTCTCCAGGTCAATCCGAGTCAGTCCCAGCTAATCAGTGCTCTCTGCCGAAGCCTTTGTGATTTCAGCTGTCTCCGGCCAGAACCTCACTCCTCTCCTCTCTCCGTCCGGCGCGCTCCAGGTCCAAGCCGACCCCCGCCAGTCCGTGCTGACCTTGGAGGCCGAGGACGCGGGGCAGCTGGAGAAGGCTGTGCAGCGCGTCGCCTACCTGAACGCCCGGCAGTTCCCCACGCCTGGGATCCGGAGGCTCAGGCTCACCAGCACCGTCAAGTATGTGCTGGGTGTTTCCTTTCTCTTTTTTTAATATGTTTTTATTGATTTTTTAGGGAGAGATAGAAACATTGATGTGAGAAAGAAACATCGATAGGCTGCCTCCTGCACACCCCCTACTGGGGATTGAGCCCGAAACCGGGGCACGTGCCCTGACCGGGAATCGAACCGGACCTCTCAGTCCATGGGACCACGCTCAAAACTGAGCAACACCGGCCGGGCTGTGCTGGTTTTTAACAGTAAGCCTTCTGTGCTCACTGACACTTGAGAAAAAACATGTGTATTTAGGTTTTAAGACAGCCCAGCCCCCTCTGTAAGGAAAGGTGAGCCCTCTCTCACCACCAGAAAGTCGGGGTGACGTGTGTTGGTGTTGGAAGCGTGTCGGGGAGTGGCGCTGTCTCCGTGTTGGTGGCTTCCCTCTGGTGTGCCACCTCTGCCCGCCTCTCAGAGCCCTGACCTCTGTTCCCGTCCTGCTGGCAGGTGTTTCAATGAGGCCACCTGTGCTCCGGTCCCGCCGGTCGACAGCTACGTGATGGTCTTGCAGCCGGAGGAGCCCAAGATCAGCCTCAGTGGTGTCCACCATTTTGCTCGAGCAGCTTCTGAATTTGAAAGCTCAGAAGGGGTTTTCCTTTTCCCCGAGCTTCGGATCATCAGCACCATCACGAGAGAAGTGGAGCCCAATGGAGAAGGGGACGAGGACCCCACAGGTAACAGCCCCTCTGCCGGGGACAGCGCCCTGACCTTGTATTGAAACGGCTGCCAAGCCCCCGCACTGCGGCCCTTGTCCCCGGCCTTTTCTCTGGGAGTTGGGGAGATTTGATGGCTTCTGGAACCTGGCCCAAGGGCAGAGCTCACTGTGATCTCTGGAAACCCACCTGGGGGGTCCTTCGATTTTTCTGGCTTGAGGTCTGAATCCGAGCTGAGCTCTGAGGAGGTAGAGAGGAGGACATTGTCCCAGGAGACGCTGTCGCTGCTGCGCCTGGGCTGCACCTCTGCTGGCCGGCCTGCCCCCAGGGGGACGGGTGCCCCATTCTCCAGCCTTCCCAGTGACCAGTCCACCTGGACACATTCAGTACCCCCCTTCTTTGTCCTGAAAAGGACTCTGAGTTTGACGATGACCCCTCAAGCTGTGGAGTGTATCGTCCCCCCACCCCACCCGTGCACCAAGGCCTCTGCTAGTCCTGGTTGGGCCGTTTTTGCAGTTCAAGAGTCACTGGTGTCTGAGGAGATCGTGCACGACCTGGACACGTGCGAGGTGACAGTGCAGGGAGAGGAGCTGAACCCTGAGCAGGAGAGCCTGGAGGTGGACATGGCCCGCCTGCAACACAAGGGCATGGAAGTGAGCAGCTCCGACCTGGGGGTGATCTTCACAGGTGAGAGGCCAGAGGCACCCAGCCGGGGCAGCAAGAGCCCTAGACGCGCCCCCCCCCTTCTGTCTCAGGGCTTGGAGCGCGTCCCGGAGGAGATGGGAAGGGAGGTGTCTTCCGGGATCGGACGAAGTGTAGGCCCTCGCTGCCTTGTGCCCTGTCCTTACGAGGGCAGAGGTCAGGCATGTGGCTCAGCCCCTCACGAGGGAGGGGCCCCCACACACTTGGCACTCGCTCCTGCAGTTGGAAAGCGAAACGTGACTGCTGGCCCAGCTGGCCCAGGTGCCTGGCTGCAGCCAGCCCTGGCCCTGCCCGTGTTCCCAGCTTCAGCCCAGGCCCTGACCTCACCTCCTCCCCCCACAGGCGTGGACACCATGGCCAGCTACGAGGAGGTGCTGCACCTCCTGCGCTACCGCAACTGGCGCGCCAGGTCCTTGCTCGACCGGAAGTTCAAGCTCGTCTGCTCCGAGCTCAATGGACGCTACATCAGCAATGAGTTCCAGGTGGAGGTGAGCGCGGGGCTCCCGCTGGGCAGGGCCCCACGCATGGCCCTGGTGTTGGCAAATGCTGGTTTTCAGAGCATCCGTGGTGGAACGACTGGGGTTGGTCCCGGGGTGCAGTCTGTTCCGGCCTGGGGGCTGCTGCTGGTCAGACCCTCGCGGGGCGGCCAGGGTGCCGCGGGTTCTCCCTGCTCACAGCTGCCTCCGCCCGCGAGCGTGGCCTTTGGAGGGAGGTGGTCAAGAGCACGGGGCTGAGTGGACACCTCGGGGTGGGGACGGCTGTTTCTTCAGGTCTGACCCTACAGGAGAAAGAGCAGCACCTGCCCGGCCAGGGTGGCTCAGTGGCTGAACGTCGACCCCTGCACCAAAGGTCGCCGGTTCGATTCCCAGTCAGGGCACATGCCCAGGTTGTGGGCCTGATCCCCAGTGGGAAGCATGCTGGAGGGGACCAATTGATGTTTTCCCTCATCAATGTTTCTATCTCCTTCCCTCTCTGGTCCTCTCTCTAAAAGATCAATAAAGAAAAAAATTTTTTTTAAAAAGAACAGCACCCAGGGAGCCAGGTTCCCTGGCTGTAGACGGCTGACGCACTGTGAGCAGGTCCTCGCCTCAGGGTGAGGGCTGCCGGTGCAGGGCCAGGCGGGCAGGCCTGCGGTCTCCGAGCCTGGCACTGGTGACAGGTGACAGCGGCCAGAGGGCCTCATCCTCCTCTGAGTCTTCAGGGGCCTGCACAGCATCAGGGCTTCAGTGGTGCCGACAAACCAACTCAGAATCATTCTCAGCAACTGAGCGCTGCATCCAGCGTGACCCCTAGCACAGGAAAGGGTTTTGTCTGGGGGGGGGTTAACGATTTGAAACAAGTGGTTACAACGCGTGCTTTCCTTGGGGGCCGGGTTTCAGGGATGAGAGGCCGGCGGTCCGAGCCAGTGCTTCTCACACAGCCCGTCGGGAAGGACCGGAGCGGTCCCTTGGGTTCGTTCCCGGTCCGACGTGCACAGGTGCTTGAGCGTGTGACAGCGTCACCTCGTCACAGCGGTTTCTAAGTGGTTGCCCTTTTATCGCCACTCTCCAGCCCCGGTCCGGGGAGAACTCTGGGGCCCCCGGTGTCAGCTTCTGAACTGCACATGGACTCAGGCTGCCCTTCTGTGTCTGCTGCAGGTGAACGTGATCCACACAGCCAACCCCATGGAGCACGCCAGCCACATGGCCGCCCAGCCACAGTTCGTCCACCCTGAGCACCGCTCCTTCGTTGATCTCTTGGGTCACAGCCTGGCCAACCATGAGCCATTAGTAGGTAGGACTGTGGGGCCCTCCCCCTTCCTGCCCAGAGCCCTGGCCCAGAGGGACCACAGGCACTGACAGCGCAGACCCCGCCGGGGCTCAGGGCAGTGGCCGGACCAGATTTGAAACCTGTGCTGGGCTTTTCCGATGTTCCTTCTGTCCTGCGGGGTCCGAGGAAGCTTCTGGCATTGGCGTGGAAGCGGTCATGAGCACGTGAGCCCCTGGGCTAGGGCCCGTGGTCACGACGCCCGTCATCTCGTTGCAGCGGTCCCCAGCACGGCCACCATCGTGATTGTCGTGTGTGTCAGCTTCTTGGTGTTCATGATCATCCTGGGAGTGTTCCGGATCCGGGCCGCTCACCAGCGGACCATGCGGGACCAGGACACCGGCAAGGAGAGCGAGATGGATTGGGACGACTCCGCCCTCACCATCACCGTGAACCCCATGGAGGTAGGCACGGCGGGTGGCCCCATGGTGACTCTGCAGGCCGTGGTCGAGCCAGGCTCACCTCGGGGCAACGCAGCCCCAGCACTGCGATCCACACGACCACTCTGTGAGGTGCAGGTGTTCCCGTTTTTCAAGTGGGTAAACTGAGGCCCAGTGAGGCCTTGTTGGAGGTCTGCCGCCCAGTATGTGGGACGCACGCTCCCCACTTGCACAGACCCTGTGGGTGGCGACAGAGCTTTGTTTCCCGTTTCGTCTGACGAGACGACTTCCAGTGTGGTCCAGCCTGTCTCGCTGTGGGTGTGACACGGGAGCCCCTTCCTCTGTGGCTCCTGGGATGTGAACAGACATGGGATAGTTGGGTGGTGAGCTGGGGTCCTGGGGGCGAGGGCCAGACTCATGCGGCTGTGTCTTTGTCAGACATACGAGGACCAACACAGCGAGGAGGAGGAGGAGGAGGAGGAAGAGGAGAGTGAGGATGGCGAGGAGGAGGACGACGTCACCAGCGCCGAGTCAGAGAGCAGCGAGGAGGAGGAGGGGGAGCACGGAGACCAGCAGACAGCCAGCCGGCAGCAGCAGCTGGAGTGGGACGACTCCACCCTCAGCTACTGAGCCACACACCTGCCTCCTGCCGTGGGAGACGCCGTCCTGCATGGCGCCCGCCCCAGGGTCCACCCCAGGGTCCACCGTGTACAAAGTCATTCTGGCCAGTAGGTCTGCTGACCCTCCCCGCCGACTGCCACCTGCCTGCTGCCTGTGCTGGGTGTGCAGGACCCCAGGCTCCCTCCCTCTCCCGACCTGGTCCTGTCCCGCGAGGGGCTGACACGCTGTCCCGTCATCTCGCTCCGCGCGGCCCCTTGGCGCCTCCACCGAACCCGGTGACGAAGGGTTAACTGCTCACTCCCACCTGGTAATCCTTTCGTTTTATTTTTTTCCTTTCTCTTTTAACCCCCCCCCCAACTAGTGCATGTATAAAATGGCCAAATGGGGGTTCATCTATAGATGACGAACTGACTTTTTAATATTTTGTAAATAAATTGGGATTCCTCGTGTCCTTTGTGCTAGTGTACCCCAGGGCTGGGTGCTAGATGGAGTGTGAGACAGAGATCGGGGGACCCTCGGGCCCCTGCTCCCCCCAGACAAGGAGACCAGGGCCTGCCACATGGGCACCTGGACTGTCCCAGCTGCTGGTCTCGGTCCCCATTTGGGGCCAGGCCAGTTGTGGGCAGGGATCTGGAGTGCTGCCTGGTGGAGGGGACCCTCTGGAGGCTGGAGATGGCCAGGCCCTCTTTGGGACCCCACCCTCTCACGAGCCGAGGGGGAGGCGCGGGGCCCTGGCCTGTTTGCACGGGACCCTCGTGTGCAGCCTCGGGGCTCGAGCTCAGACACGCGTGGCTGGCGCGGAGGGTCGACAGTCTGACCTGAGGGAGCCGGCAGGCCTGAGTGATGCACTCGGAGTCTGGGACACCCCTGAACGGGCGCCCAGTGGCCCAGAGTCAAAATCAGACCCCCCGACCCCCAGCAGCCGGAGCTCTGCTCTCCTTCCCAGAGCCCCGGGCTCCCAGAGTGGGGGCTGCCTGTGAAGGGAAGGGAGCGAGTCTCAGCAAACCCCTGCAGCACTTTGTTTTATCTGACTTGTAAAATTTTAGATTTCTAAAACGGGGGGTGGGGGATAATTCTGAATACTGTTCTGTGACCCCTCTGCTAGTGTCAAGGACACGGCCGCTGTCCTGTCTGTGTGGCCCCCATGCCCTCGCTGCAGCTGCTCTTCAGTCGGTGGGTAGACGCCGGGTGGGGACCAGGTGTCCGCCCGGCAGCCGCCCCGCCCCGTGTGTACGCTGGCGCTAGGGCAGGTGTCTGCCGTGCAATAAAGTTCTGGTGTGACTCCAGTGGGACGCGTGTGCTTTCTGACCCCGCATCCCCGTTTCCTCTGGAGCTGAGGACGCAACACGAAGGCCTTTTTATTTCTTTTAATCCGCTTGTACCTCTCAGTTCAAGGTTTCAGAGTGCTGGTTGTCAGCCTACATCTGCTACGTCGAACTCCCCTCCCCCACACAGAAACATGAAATGATTTAAAAAAATAGATAGTATTCTTCTCACCAGGCACACAGGCTGTGCACCCGAGTCAGAAATTGCTCTGTCTATGCAAAGTGTCTGTCCGCGCCAGGGAGCACAGACTCCTTTAAATAAATAACACACAGACATACACCCGGCTTCTCCTACTCGGGCGGCGAGGTGGGTCTGAGGCATTCAGCCCTTGGCCGTGGAGTCTGGGCAATACCGACGGCTCGCGGACTGCACCTCCCAAAAGAAAGCTGGTCCCTGGGCTGCTGAGAGGGCAGCTGCTAGCGGCTCCCTGAGCCCACGAGGCCTGGGGGGGGGGGGTCCCAGGTCGGCTGTCACTTCACTGGGGTCCCCGTGGGTTTCCAAAGGCCCAGGTTCCTGCCCGTCTCCAGAGCCAGCTGCAGACAAACCCAGGAATGTGCCTTTCGAGAGCTACCCAGGTCCACCTAAGGCTACGGATATTGTCACAGAAAATCACCACGCCCCTAACTCACACTCGGGCGCCTGGTGAGCGTTCTGGGAAAGGTCAGCTCCTTCCCTGGAACCTGTTTCGAGAGGAAGCTCCGGGTGCCGACAAATGCTCTGACCTGCTTCCCCCGACCAGGATGAGCTCAATCAAGCTCAGGTTTCTTTAAATACGTCTTGAGGACCAACATTTAGTATACTTTGTGGGGCTGAGGCTGTTCTCCCGAGCCACAGAGGTTCCATAAGTAGTTTGGCTATTTTCTTACCCGCAAACCAACTCACTTTACAGCAGAACGCTAAGAGAAATCCCGTACCCAAGAGTCACTTTGAAAGCAAGCATCCCTGAATCGAGAGGGTACCAGGCTACCTCAGGGAGCTGCCCAGAACTCAGTCAGTGGAGGGCGTGAAGGTGGACGGGTGGGCGCCCCGTCTGGACAGCAGGCACCAGGTAAAGTCCCGGGAGCCCTGGGAAGGGAGCTCCCCAGCGGGGATGAGTCTGCTGGGTCCAGAGCCCCCTGCTGGAAGACTTGGGATTACCGTCCTCCACAAGGTGCTGTCTCCAGGTGCCCACCTCACAGTGTCTTAGCAAAGCTGGGGACGCTGAGGACAGCACCCTCCCCTGCACAAAGGATGCATTTCCACGTATGGCTGTTTAGTTCCTGAAACGTTTCAAGTCATTAATAAATAACCAGTGTAAACACAAGGCAGTTGGGAGAGTCCTTTCCCATTGGGCGCAGTCCTGGCTCTCGGGCCCCAAGGACGCCTGCTGGCGCCTGGTCCCCAGACGGACGGTTTGCTCACGTCCGAGCCCGGCAGGGAGGGGTCCGTGTGCCGCCGGAGGCCTGCTATTGCCTGTTGTCTTTGGACACGTTGTGGGCCAGCCAGTTCACTTTGGTTTTCCAGCTCTCCCGGAGGGCCTCGTTGAACTTCACCCGGAAGTGCTTGAGCGCCTCCTCCTCTGTCTTCCCCAGGGCCAGCGAGTCCTGGGGCAGAATGGGGACGCTCAGGGGCCTGGTCCCTGCCCAGCAAGGCACCCCCTCTTGCCTCCCCAGACGTCTGTCCTCTCCGGATGTTTTAAGCTCCCTCTTAACCGTGAAGAGAGAAGATGGCCACCCCACATCTCCCTCGGAAAGATCTTTTTATTTTGATCCCAAACCAAGGCAAGTCCCTAGAGCCACCCTCAAAACAAGATGCCCGCTGGAAGCAACCAGGCTGTTTCTGGCGGCTTCCCCCAGACCCCACTGGGTCCCGAGTGGAACGAGGAACACTTGAGCCAGGAGTGCCCTGTAGGGTCCACCACACTCGGGGGTCCCCTAGGTCACACTGCTGGGAGGCCGGCCTGGGGACGTTGGGGGCTCTGCGGCCTCCCGACCAGCAGGCCCTGGGCCTTTACCTTGAGATACTGGATGTCTTTGGAGCAGCTGAGCTCCGGCAGGCCTGCCGCCCGCATCAGGGCGAAGAGGTGGAGGAAGAGCAGCCCGTGGCGCCGCAGGATGGTGTAGGCTCTCTCGCAGTAGCCACGGAACCTGCGGGGGGAGGCGGCCCTGGTCCTCCCAGCCACTACCAGTCCCACCTGCCAGCCTGCCTCCTCCCACCGGACCCAGCAACCTCCCCACACTGCCCCCTCCAGGGTGGGCTCTGCACCCGATCAGTGCCCTCGGGCCCTAGGGGCATCTAGCGGGTCTGAGGCACCCTCACCTTTCAAATTTCTCACTGTTATTAGTCTTCCCCTGCTGAATCACATGGACAAAGTCGTAGGTGAGGATGAACGGGACTCGCTCACGGTTGATTCCAAATTTGGTCTTGAAATTCCCCAGGAAGTGGCCAAAATCAATGTGGAACAGCTAAGGGAAGGGAAGGAAGGGTCAAGACCGGGCAGCGGAGGGCTCTGCCTGGAGCCGAGCGCAGAGAGGCCAAGGGAGGGGCCAGAGGACAGGCGCCGCCCACGCCGCCGCCCCACGCCGCGCCTACCTGCCCGTTCTCGCGGATCATGATGTTGTCGCTGTGCCGGTCGCCGATGCCCAGCACGTATGTGGCCACACAGTAGCCAGCGCAGGAGAGGGTGAACTCCTCAATGGCTCTGTCCAGGGCCTCCCTGGGGGGAGCAGGGAGACTGGAAACCAAGGCCTTAGACACCCTGCAGCCCCCGAGCCTTCCCTGCTGCGAGGCAGTGGGGCCCTGGACCTGCCGCCTGCAGGCCCCGCCCAGCTCCCAGACAACAGCAGCTGCACAGGTGACCCAGCAGCAGAACCATTCGGCTGAGCCAGCTCAAGGGGCACAATTCTGAGCCAGTAACACACGAGGGCTGTCTTCCGGCCCTGGGCTGGGGGGGAGGGTTCCACAGCAACAGGTGACTGACACGTGGGGAACGGACACGCAGCCCACCCAACACAGACCAGGGCCGGACCCTGGCCGAGCCTGGAAGTCACAGAGCCCGTCACACACTGTCCCTTCACCTCTGACTCCCACACCTCACCTCGTGGAAAGGAGAGGGCATCTGTCCCCAGGGCCTGAAACCTACCCGGGGTTCTTGGACTTGAGCCAGTTGAGCAGGGCGTCCTTGTTGAAAGCGGCCGTGGCGGCCATGTTGCTCTTGTTCAGCTGGATGTTGGCGATGGTGTCCGAGTGCAGCACCACCTCGATGAGGCCCGTGCGGTCGCCGGTGGACAGGCAGCCGTAGGGGGTCATCCTAGCCGGGTGGGAGGGGGCAGGCAGTGGTCAGGGGCTGTCCCTGGGGCTGCCCGACCCCCAGTGGACTCGAGACATCCAGAGCAGCCGCAGGAGACGCCAACACTCAGATGCAGACAGAACAAGCCAGCTCCTCGGCTGAGCCCGTTTGCCCAGAGAGAAAAACTCACGTGGCTGGGAAGCAGGGGGCAGGAAGCCAGGGACACTTGAGGCAAAGGGAGCAGCGAGCCCGATGCTCAGCACCGGGCTGGCCTCCTCCACCCTCAGCCTGTGGCCCTACCGCCCCCTTCGCCCTCGTTTTGAACTGCACTTCTGAGAACAGCCACTTCTCCTGAGGTGGTGATGCCACTTTGGCAGGGGACCCCTCCAGAGGAACAGGCTCCCAGGGCTGGTGCAGGCACTGACGGATGCCAGGCGGGCTCCTCACCTCAGGTCCAGCCCCTCCTGCTTCCACAGAATGTCCATGAGCTGGATCATCTGCAGCGTCAGCATGTCCTGGCGGAGGTCTGTGCCGCCGGCCCCCGGAAGAAAACGCATGAGTTTCTAGAGGGTTCTGCACTCCCAGCCACGCCTAGGCCCCAGCACTGGTTCCCGACTTCTCCTCGGCTCACCCTCCAGGGAGCCCAAGAACAGTGCAGTGTGGGGAGGCCCGGCCTGCTCACCGTCCCCGTTCTTAAAGATGATGCCCACGCTGCCGCCGCTGCCCGCCTCCTCGTTGCTGTACATAACCCACAGCGGCTTCATCTTGGAGTCCATGAAGGTGCACTGCTCCACGCTGCCGGGAGAGGGCAGTCAGCAGGGCCCTGGGCCTCTGCGGGGGCGGGGAGGCCTGTGGGGGGCTCACCAGACTTCGGCCAGCAGGATGCTGGGGTCCAGCGGGGACTGCAGGTGGGAGAGGGCCTCCAGGTAGGTCTCCTGGCGCATGCACAGGTGCATCAGCTCCTTGGTCTGGGGCTTGGGGCTCTTCTGGGAGCTCACCTTGACAAAGTCGTTCAGGGCCTTCAGTTTGCTCAGCGCTTCCCCCTGGCAGGAGAACCAGAGGCATCGTGGGCAGGCCGGAGGGGCGGCCCGAGCTTCCGGCCGGCCAGGTGATCCCAACGAGGCCCGGCCCACCCTGCCCAAGAGCGAAGCCCACGTGGGGACGGGGCTGGGGGGCCTGAGCCTCACCTGCTTCATCAGCACCTTCATGTGGTGGGTGCTGCCCCGGCAGTAGGCTTCCATGATGAGGCCGAAGCGCAGCGCCACCGACGGCACGTGCATCTCGGAGCTGGGGGCGGAGAAGGGGCTGAGCCTCCCCGGGCAGGGCCACACGGCCCCTCCCAGCCCGCTCGGGCACCCAGGCCAGCAGAAGGGGAGGCCCTCCTCCCCGTGGCCTTCCAGGGACATTGGGTCCAGCTACCGGAGGTGCCAGAAGAGGAAGTGGCCGATCTTGCGGTTGGCCAGGGCTCGGTCCAGCAGGAATTTGGTCAGCTCGCAGTCGAGGTAGGACTCGTACTTGAGCACCTGCACCAGCTGCAGCAGGTACTGGAAAAGCTCGTCGTCCCTGCAGGGAAGGGAGGCCGGCTGGGCCGGGAGCTGCGTGGCTCAGGGCAGGGGTCTGCAGCAGGCCCCCAGGGAGAGTTCCGTCCCCACCCTGTGCCCTCTGCCAGGCGGCCTGGGCAAAGCCACCCTCCCGAGGAGGGGCAGGACCCCGTGGGACTCACGTCAGTTTTCGCAGGGACTTGATGGCGAAGGAGCCCACGTGGCGGTCAGGGAAGCTGGAGTCCAGCAGCTCCAGAGCGCTCAAGACCGGCAGCTCTGGCCAGGAGCACAGCAAGTAGAGCATCTGGGGAAGCTGGAGGTCAGGGCGGGGCTGTGCCCACCCCGGGCTGCCCCTCTCCAGGCCCTGCCCCTCCGCCCACCTGGGCCACGTCCTCGTGCTTGTTCCACTTGGTGACCAGCAGCAGCCGGGCCAGCGCCTCGGGAAAGCGCTCCTGGACCTCATGGCGCATCTTCCACACCAGGTCCTTCTCGTGCTCGTACAGCTCCCCCGACCCACGCCGCTCCAGGATTTCCCGGAGCTGCAGCTGCTGAGGGGTGCAGGGGGTGAGGCTGCAGCTGGCTACGCCAGGCTCCGTACCCAGCTCTGCGCTGGTCCTGCGCCCCACACCCCCAGCCCTGCTCACCTCCTCCTCGGTAGCGCGCCCGTGCTCCCCGTGCCGGCCCAGCTCCAGGATCTGCAACGAGAGGCCTGCTCAGCGGTGCTCCAGGACCAGGGCCAGCCCGAGGAGCCCAGGGCCGGAGACAACGCTGCCGACCTTGCGGGCCAGTGACTCCGTGGGAGACTGTCCCGTGACTGGAGGAGTTCACGGGCATCCCTGGCCTCCTGGGAAGCCAGGCATTTCTCCCACTAGTTGTGAAAGCCAAACGTGTCTTTGGGTATTGCCCGAGTTTGCCTGGGTGCAGTGGTCCCTGGTTGAGCACCGCTGCTCCGGAGTGCAGGGACCACGCTCTGGGGAGCCCCAGGGCCAGGGGCAAGAAAATTCACCTCACTTAGCCCCACAGCCTCTGAGCAGGGCAGGTCCTGGACCCCGGTGGAGAGGGGCCCTCACTGACCTTGTCCAGGGCAGGGTAATACACTGGGCAGGAGGCCACCTCGGGGAGACAGATGACCAGGGCTGCAGCACTTTCGGTGTTGGGGTTGCTGCACACGGTTCCTGTAGGGTTCAGCAGCTCCCCTTTCTCGTCTGGGTGCAGGGAGAGGCGGAGTTACAGGGGGACACCCCCATATTGGGGCGATGCCCACACTTTCCCCCTCCTGGCCTGGGCCAACCTGGCACAGAGGGCCACATGTAGAGACAGCACTCGCCAGTCTTGAGCTGGTCCTTATAGTCAAACAAGGTGAGGTTGGCCCAGGCGATGGGGCAGTCCTGGAAGGGAACACAGGTAGGTCAGCCCCCCTTGGTTCCCCACTCCCAGCTTCTGGAGGAACCCCCAAACCAACCACATGGGCCCCAGAAAGCTGGCCCAGCTCAGCGGGGGGTAGTCAGCATGGCTCCGTGGCCAGTCACATTCTGGGGCCCGTGACTCAGGGCCCAACCCCCACTCCTTCCTGGCCAGCTGCTGACTCAGGCCACCCTGCTCCCTGCAGGACCGTGTGTTTGTCCTCCCCTATCCTATATTCCACGTCATCCTGCCAGCAAGCCTGGGGACCCAGAACTGTCACACAGCAGGGGCAGTGGCCAGGGTGGGGGCATTGGGGAGCCGGGGTCCCCAGGCTCCGGGACCCATCCCCAGGCTGAGTGACCCCAGGCGCAGGACTGGACTGGGGCCAGCAGGGCGTGGCGGGCTCTCAGAGGCTGGCCCCACCCCTCAGCCGGCCCCACCCACCGCCTTCTTGGACTTCTTCTTGGTGGAGCGGGCCTTCTTGGCCTTCTCGATCACGGCGTAGAGCGCGAAGCAGAGCCGGGCCATGCGCGGCAGGTCGCAGATGCTGATGTCGAACTCCAGGCGCTGCTTCCACACGGGCTCCGAGCACACGCTCACCTCCGAGCTGGACACCGTCTTGCAGAGCGTCTCGTTGCCATGGAAGAGCCCGGCCTGCACCACCAGCTGGGGAAGGTGCGGGCACAGGTGACAGGTGGCAGAGGCCTGGTCCCCTCTCCCCTCCCAACTTCTCCCACCCAGCTAAGGCCAGAGTCTCCTCCTGAGGTGTCCTCATTCCAGATGTCCAATCCCGCCTCCCACGTGGAAGGAGGGACGCAAGGGGATGGCTGGCGCCTGTGGGATGAGTGGCCGTGGTCCCGGGTGGGCTGAGAGGGAGAAGGCCATGGGCTGTGCCTGGGGGACCGTCTCAGCGACCCGGTGGCTCGGTGGGACCCCAGGACCTGTTGCTTCCTGCTCTGCCCTCAGTGTCCCCAGCTGGGCTCCCTGCACAGCTCACAGTGCTGTGCGCCCCCTGTGGCCGGGGAAGGATAATGCCTCATCAACTCCCACGCCCAGCCTTCTCCAGCTCCAAGGACAGAAAGCTTCTGTGATCCTGCCAGGGGAACCCAGACCTGTTTGCTGATAAAATACCCCAAAAAGGGTTCCCCAAAGAGACCCCACCTCTGTGCACCCAGGTTGCACATTCTGCAAACCGGACAACGGAATGAACCTACACTAGCAGACTGTCCCAAGGACCAAGGACACGGTGTGGGCTTGGCCCCCAGAAGCCCAGCCACAGGTGCACACACCTCCCCCACCCCATGCCCCCCAGAGCCCCAAAGGCCCCCAGCCCAGCTGGAGTGGCTCCTCTTCCAACGCCTGATACCTCCCCGGCTGCGGTTTCCACATCCCTGGGCTAGGCCCGGCCCACAGCCTCCACCAAAGTCAAGTACCCAGAACTCGCCCAGTTTCTACGAATCAGCCTCTCTGGCCATGGCCTGTTCCCCTCCCCCCTTCCTGTTTTGAAACAGCTCACAACCACCCTGGGCAGGGATGCTGGGTAATGTGGTCAGGTGGCTTTCATGTGACCCCCACCTCTTCCTCTGCCGCCCCTCCAGGCCACAGCCACCTTGTTTGTGCAGAAAACACACAATCCCCCTGGCCCAGGGCCCCACCTTCATCCGCTCGTCGGCGTTCACTTTGCTGCCCTGGATCAGCTCGATGCAGAAGGGCTGTTCCAGGGACCACAGGGACACAGAGCAGGGCTGGGAGGGCAGAGGAGACACAGGCCTTTAGAGCAGAGGGACCCAGGGGCTGGGGGCTCGGGGGGTGAGTGTGCTGCAGGTGTGCGGTGAGGCTCAGGTACCTTCCCCAACTCCACCCTTTACCAGACACCTGCCGGCAGGTGGCAGGACCCCAACCCCCCGAGCTCTGCAGGGCAGAGCCCGTCTCCGGTGCAGGAAGCAGGACAAGGGTGAGGAGGGTGGCGGCCGGGAGCCAGGCCTGGGGACTCCCGGGAAGCTCTGACACCCCGGCCCTCCAGCCCTGCTGGCTCCCAGTTCAGAGCCCAGCCCTCAACCGACCAACAAGGGGCAGGCGACAAGGGCCCCTGGACCCCCCATGGGCAGAGGTGGGAGGAGGGGTGGGGGGGGGAGGTAAAGAGAAGGCTCAGCTCACCTTCTTCATGGGAATGGGGGGCGGTTTGGTGCGTGGCTTTTGGACTTGGGGGGCAGGGTTGCTCTGTTCGTCCCGCATGGCGAGGATGGAGGAGGAGTGTACCATGGTCAGGTGCGGGGTCAGCCCACTGTGCAGGCAGCTGCAGATGTACTGAGGTGGCGGGGGGGGGGGGGCAGTGAGTGGCTGACAAACAGTCCCAACCATTCCCAGGACAATGGCTACCAGGGGACTCCCCCAGGCTGACCACTGCCTCGCCCAGGCTTTCTGGGCCGCGCCCGTGGCTCTCCCTGCCCTCGCCCACCTCAGAGCCATCCCGGTGTTCACTCTCGCTGGGACCCCCAAAGGCCTGGCTCACGGGGTTCAAGAGGGGCCAAAGAAGCAGCTTCCCCAAGCCCCGCCCAGGAGCCCAGGGCCCCCCGGCCCTCACCTGGAACTGGCAGAGGGGGTAGCTGCCGTACAGGTACTCATGCTTCCCGTTCACCTGCAGGGCGTAGTCCTCGGGCTGCTCCACCAGGGGCTTCCGGAACACCGTGGCCTTCTTCCGGAGGGCACAGGCCATCAGTGCCAGGGGCATGTCCTTGGTGGACACCTGGAAGGTGAAGCTCTCCTAGGGGGAGGGGGAGGGTCAGCTGTCCGCCCTGTGAGGGACCACAGGGTCCTGGGCACGGGGTGGGACCGCCACTTGCCGTCTTGGGCCCTCCCTGCCCCCATCGAGCTCCGTAAGGCCAGGGTGTGATGAAGGCACACAGGGAACACTTGCTCAGTGAGTGAACAGACCCGGGATCCGGTCACCTGGTCATTCTGCCTCGTCAAACTTGCCTGGTGGGACGTTCAGCTGAACCCCCGGCAAGCATGGATACCCCACAAACACATGTGATGCTACTGGGAGGAGAGTGAATTTGGGGGGCTGGTGGGTGACTGGGGAGTCTCACAGGGGCGGCGTCCCCCGTGGACACGGCAGCCTGGGTACAGCTCCGGCAGAAGCCGTGGCTCACCTCGCTGCCCTCGAACTTGACGTTGACCAGGAGGGCCCGGCTGGGGACCCGCAGGGTGCCAGCCCCCCAGCTCCGTGCGGAGGGCTCCAGCTGCAGGGGGAAGCTGTACTGCAGCCAGGCCTCCCAGCCCAGCTGCTGCCGGCGGGCCGCCGCCTCCTCGCAGAACTGGCGCATCTTGGCTCGGAAGTCGTTCACTTCGGGGTCGCGCAGGGAATCGAACTCGTGCAGGCCTGCGGGGAGGGAGGGGCCGGGTCAGCGGGGCCAGGGGGGGGCCCGTGGGGCAGGGCGGCCTGGCGCCCTCGGCCCACCCTGGCCGGGGTACCTTTGCCAATGAGGAGACTGATCTGCGAGTTGATGAGCTTCTTCACCCTGTCACCCTCCCGGGCCACCAGGCGCAGGACCGGCAGGAAGGGCTGGATGTCACACAGCCGCCGCTGCTCGTCCTCCAGCTCCTGCTGCTCCGCGGTCTGGTTGACACAGGTGAACACGTAGGCCTCGGGGTCACTGAGCATGTGGAAGAGCGGCTCATACTGGGCTCGGTGCCACAGCACCTGGGGGGACAGTCGCTGGTCAGCCCTCTGACCACGGCGGGCGCGGCCCCAGGGAGCTAGGGGAAGGTGGAGGCTGGCTCGGCTGGTGTCCCACCCTGTGTGGCCCTTACAAGAAGGCAATGGCAGGACCCCAAGGCCAGCACCCTCTCCTGACCCCTGGGGCACGGCCCGCCAGGAGCCCGTCGCAGCAGGATGCCAGGCACGCTCTAGACCTGGGACTGAGCGGTGGGTCCGGCAGCCTCCCTGCAGGGCACTCTAAGAGCCGGACAGCCGGACACGACCTCCAGGCATCCCCAGCTAATCGTTCTGGGGTTCAACACCCTGGTAGCCCATTCAGAAAAGTTTACCGCACCGAGGGGCCATGAAACCCTCGGTGGGCGGTGTACCCTCCGGGTGAGGTGTCCCCAGGGATCGCTGGGGTGTCACCTAACAGCAGGGTTGAGTGTGAAGGTGCTTGCCACAGAGTCACAGAGACCAAAACGGAGGGAACAGCCTTAGTTTTCCTCCATGGGGGATGGTCATTTCCACCCATGGACGCAGAGGGATCTCGGGGTGAGCCTAGGGGTGCCTGCGCTCCAGAGGCGTGTTAAGGGGAAAACCCGAAGCTGTAGAACAGCAGATGTGATTCGAACCCATCGCATAAAAACATCAATCACAAACATTCATTATACAGATCAGGATTCAGTCAACAAGCCACCTGGTTACTGGAAGACCGCCCTTTATTTACATGCTGCCTAAGCAGGCCTTTGTCTTAGGAGGCGGACTTGGTTGTTGCAGCAATTAACACACGGCCTCCAGCAAAGCCTAAGATATTTACAGTTTGGCCCGTGGCATAAATAAATATATGATACGGCCGTAGAACTGAAGTGGGGCGAGACTGCCAAGTTTTACATTTGCACAAAGTTTGAGTTGGAATAAAACTCAAGTTTAGCTCTGTAAGCAGAAAACTAAGATTCACCTTAAAACGATAGTTACCTAAAGTTAATAACATGAAAAAGATGTTACCTGTTAACTTTGAAATAAAAGGGTATAAAAGTTCATAATCAGAATTTTTCACACAAAAACAACCCTATACTGTATATAAAAATAAAACAGGGAATAGCCAAACGGTTAACTGTGGTCATCTGATACGGCTGGATCATAGATCATTTTTCCTTCTACTTTTTCTTCTGTTCCTAAATGTCAATGTGTCCATATTACTTTTGAAATAGAAAATAAATAAATAAATAAGTACATGTAATATGTAAAGAAACCTCCCAGGTGGGGTCTGATGAACAAAATAAGGCGATGAACTAAAGAGATCCAGAGGCATGGAAGTAGGAAACAGACTGACAAACCTCAGAGGAAGGGGGACGAGAGGGCAGGAAGAGATAAACCACAGAACTTACGAGCATAAATGTATAACCAATGGTCATAGAAAACAGCGTGGTGAAGGGGGGGTTCTGTAATACTTTCAACAATAAAGATTTTTAAAAAGAAAGAAAAAAATCTCCCAAGGAGGGAAGATTAAAAGCCAAACAGCCTCGCCAGTGTGGCTCAGTGATTGAGCATCGACCCATGCACCAAGAGGTCACTGGTTCGGTTCCCAGTCAGGGCACATGCCCAGGTTGTGGGGCCAATCCCCAGTGGGGGGCGTGCAGGAGGCGGCCAATAGTGTTCTCATTGATGTTTCTCTCTCTCTCTCCCTCTCCCTTCTTCTCTCTCTAAAAAATCAGTAAAGAAAGAAAAAAAGAAAACATGTTTTAAAAACAAACAATAAACCTCAAGGATGGTCCATTGGTCCTCTGCTTCTCTCTCTCTCTTTTTCTGCTCCCAAGTATAGCTTTTATAATTCTGAGCTAAGGTCTTGCCCTGTGGCATGACCTATTCAATTTCACACTTTGTAAGTGGAACAAGCCAGTCACTACCAAATACTATCCAGATGTCGAATCCTTTGACTCAGTCATTTACCCTGAAAACTATGCAACAAAACCAAAAACTGCTTCCAAAGATGTTTACTAGGATAACAGCTCTAAAGACAAAAGACCAGCAAAACTCCAAAGTGGTCATGGGTGGAGTGTGGTTCCAGAAACAACAGTAAGGCCATGAAGAAAGTGAAAGGCCACCACCTGCCAACGGCACCCTAAGCTCTTCCTGGAACCCACGTGCACCACATAGGGGGAAGCCGAATTCGAAATGCTAGGCAGACTCTAACTGCAAATTTTTAATTTTTATTATCATTTTTTAAATAATTTTTCTTTATTGATTTTAGACGGAGAGATAGAAACATCGATGAGAGAGAACATCGATTGGCTGCCTCCTGCACGCCCCCCACTGGGGATCGGGCCCACAACCTGGGCATGTGCGCTGACCAGGAATTGAACGGGCGACCCCTTAGTGCATAGGTCATGCTCAACCCCATGAGCGACACCAGCCGGGCTTAACTGCAAGCTTTTAAACAATTCTTGGATTATTATTTATTTATTTTTAATTTTTTTTTTTTAACCTCACCTGAGGACATTTTTTGATAGTTTGCTCAGATAGAGTGGGAGGGGGAGAGAGAGAGAGAGAGAGAGAGAAACATCGACGTGAAAGGGACACATTGAGTGGCTGCCACCCACACGACCCAACCAGGGCTGGAGACAAACTGCAACCGAGGTACGTGCCCTTAGCGGGAACCGAACCCGGGTCTCTCTGGACCGCAGGCCGATGTTCTAACCGCTGAGCCAAACCGGCCAGGGCTGATAGCTTTTAAAATTCATATCCAAGGATCTTAAATCTGAGAAATTACGGCTGTGTGTCTGTCTTTCTGAGTTCCAAGGACTAGTTTTAAGGTCAAGATCATACCTTCTTGATGGTGCTGAGGTTGGCATTTCGGGACACGGGGAAGTTCAGATAGACCCCTGTGGGCAGCAGAAAGTCAACTGCCACACTCTGATTCTCCTCGTTGGCCCAGAATTCCATGGGGCAGTCCACCCCCGGGGGCATCCTGCTTTTTCACTTCTCAGACACCAGTTGTCCTGAAAAGGGAGTGAAGGCGAATGAGCCACTGCAGACGTGCTGGGTGGAAACAGGATGTCAGGACCTTTGACAGCAGGAGGCTCGGGACAGAGCCTGGGCACCCAAAGCCGGCCTCCCGCTGGGCCTCCTCCTGCCTGGGGTGGCTCGTGGCTCCTACTGCCCCAGGCCAGCGGCTAGAACTCTGTCTGCATCCCTCAAGGCGGTGGCCCGCGTCCTGGACACCAGCAGACCCATTCCAAATCTTTCTCTCTCGGAAACACACGCAAGTGGGAGACCTCTTGCCATGGCCACCGACGGGCAAAGAAGCAAAATGGCAGGACACTGGTCACACGAAGCAGGACTCGAAGGCTCTAGGTCTTTGAAACTTTCTAACCAGAAACCAAGTGGCTTAAAATTGGCTTTGCACCATCAAGCAATTTGTTGAAACATCTCAGTCATACCAAACCCCCCAGTCATACCCTCCCCAGAAAGTAACAAATATTACAGATACAATGAAAGATCTCGGAGTGTCTCCCTACCCCACTTCAGATTACCCCTGACACTTCAGGGTACCCCACATGCACTTCAGGTTACCACCACCTGCATTCTGATCGTTTATAATGACCACGGCTGTTTTTATACTTGCATTATACCAATATGTATCCACAAACCATTCCTAATAGTTTTGCACGCTTAAAAACTTCCTATGGAGTAAGTCTTCCAACTTGCTTATACCCTTTAGATTTATCCACGCTGATACATGCAGCTCTAGTTCATTCATTTGAACTCTTGTGATATTTCACTGTGTAAATAAACCACAATTTATTACCCCTTCTCTTGCTGATGAACCTCAAGGTCTGTTTCTACTGTTCAGGTATTACAGACAATGCTACAATGTATATTCTTGCTCACATCTCCTTGTGGGCATGTCAGAGTCCAGATGCATGTTGTCCAAGAGAAATACAACGTGAACACACAGGTAATGGAAAAGTTGCCTGTAAGCCCTGGCCGGTTTGCTGAATGGTTAGAGCATCAGGCCACAGACCAAAGAGTCGCGATTTGATTCCAGTCAAGGGCATACACCTTGGTTTCAGTTTGTCCCCGGCCCTGGACTGACTCTCTCTCTCTCTCTCCCCCCCACACACACTATCTGAAGATAAATGAAAAAATATATATCCTTGGGTGAGGATTAAAAAAAAAGAGTTGCCTATAACCACATTAAAAATAATAAAAAGACACAGATAAAATTAAGTGTAGTGATATATTTTATTTAACCCAATATATCCAAAATATTGTCATTTTGATGTTATCAATATAGAAAAAGTACTAAGGAGTATTTCGCATTCATTGTTTTTCGCTTTCATTTCGAAACCCGGTGCGGCGGCAACACTCGGCGAGCACACTGCAGTTCGTACAGCGGATTTTCTCTCCATCTCGTGTCTCAGTGCATTGCATGCAGTTGCCAGGTGAAGCAAAAAGCTCACCAACTCACGTTGTTCCAAATATACTTCGAAAAGTTTTCGAAGAAAGGAATTCAAGTTTCACTTCTTACATTTAAATGAACTAAAAGTAAATAAGATGTTTAAAATTTTTGTTCCTCAATCACACCGATTCGGGTGCTCACGGACTACGTGGGGCCAGTGGCCACGTGGGACGCACAGTTCCTGGGTGCACACTGGGAGGGAGCTGTTGGGTCCCAGGTATAACCACATCGTGAACTTCACCAAAGCAAAGGGGTGGCGCCCATCACTAACAGCAACACAATCTTCCTTTCTCACCGACACTTGGTATCATCAAACTTACTCATTTCTGCCAATCAGAGAAGCATCAAAATGTTCATTATTTTAATTTGCATTTCCCCCATTTTCCGTAAAAGGTTAATCTTCTCCAAATAGCCTGCTTATAAATACCCATTTTTCTGTGGAGTTATTTATCCTTCTCTTATGAGCTTGTAACTTCCTTTGTATACTCTACATTAAATTTTTTTGTTGATTAAATGCGTTGGAAAGATCTCTGAATCATCTTTATATTTTGTTTATAGTGGGTGTTTTTGTTTTTTTTTTTTAAGATGAGTAGTTTTTTAATGTTGATGCAATCCAATTTATCAACCTTTTCCTTTGTCTTATTATTTTTATTCTTTAGAAAAATACTTCCCCTAACCTAAAGTCACATCCTTCTAGATTTAAATGACCTTTAAAAATAGCCCTGGCTGGTTTGGCTCAGCAGTTAGAGAGTCAGCCCAAGGACCAGAGAACCGCGGGTTCGATTCTGGTCAAGGGCACGTGCCTCGGTTGCGGTTTGTCCCGGCCCTGGTTGGGCTGGTGCTGGAGGCAACCAGTCGAGGTGTCTCTCTCACACTGATGTTTCTCTCTCTCTCCCGCCTTCCTTCCCTCCCACTCTGTCTGAAGATAAAAGGAAAAATATCCTGGGGTGAGGATTAAAAAAAAAACAAGAAAGTTGAAAGGAAATGTTTAGTGGGAGACAGATGGTCTGCCAGGTAGGCCCAGGCCTCTCGCCCAAGGTTGATGCACAGCCTCTCTGAGCAGCTCAATGGGCACCTCGCCCCCCACTACCATGATACCACTACTGAGATTCCCATCCTCTGATTATAAAACCACATCCTACTTTGGGTTCCTCTTTCTGAGAATGGACCAGGCCAAGGCTTGCTTTCTCTTTTTTTAAACATCAATGTCAGAGGGAAACACTGATCAGCTGCCCCCTGCACACCCCCACCAGGGATCAAGACCGAAACCCGGGCTTGTGTCCTGACCGGGAATCCAACAGGCCAGTGCCTGGGATGACACCCAACCAACAGGCTCACCAGCCAGGGCATGCTTTCTTCCTGATTCAAAATGTTGGGGCTCGACAGGAATGCTGGAGAACCCACTTACAATGCTCTGTGTGCTTAGGCTGAGCTCGGGAAGTCGGGAGAACCTCCACCCATTCATTCCCAAGGCTGAGATGATTCAGGGGACAAACAAGGCTCCCCTCACTCCCCTGCCTCTTAGCACCATGGAAACAAAGCCTGAACTACATTCATCCGTCTGGAATGCAGGGAAGTACCTTGATGTCAAAGGCTCATTCCTGCCCCGGCTCGGTGGCTCAGTTGGTTGAGCGTCATCCTGTACACCAAAAAGGTTGTGGGTATGTTTCCTGGTCAAAGCATATACCTAGGTTGTGGGTTCAATCCCCGATAGGGGCACTCACAGTAGGCAACCGATCGATGTTTCTCTCTCACATCAATGTATCTCTCTCTCCCCCTCTCTAAAAATCAATATAAACAGCCCAGCCAGTGTGGCTCAATGGTTGAGCGTCATTCCCATGCACCACGAGACCACTGGTTTGATTCCCGGTCAGGGCACATGCCCAGGTTGCAGGCTTGATCCCCAGCAGGGGGCATGCAGGAGGCAACCGGTCAATGTTGATGCTTCTCTCTCGTGCATGTTTCTATTTCTCTCTCCCTCTCCCTTTCTCTCTCTTAAAAAAAAAATCAATAAAAACATATTTATAGGTGGGGATTAAAAACAATAACCAAAACAACCCTCACTGCTAGGGGAAGACTCTGGATGGTGTGGGTAGCACATAACCAGATGCCAGACATGGGGCAGGAGAAAGTGGGAGCTCTTTCCCTCATTGTGGGCCCAGGACCCAGGGTGCAGCTGCTAACAAGCCCCCCCTGTTTATGAAGCCCAGACTCATGGCTCTGCAGTCTGTACAGGGCACAGATGCCAGCTGATCCAGGGACTTCCGAACACTCCAAGAATGCAAATTGGTACTACCACTTTGGGAAACTGTTTGACAGTATCAACTATGCCCTCTGCCCCAGCAATTCCACTCCTGGGTATACACCTAACGGAAATGCAATTGCAAGCCCGGGTACCAGGACAAGTCCAAGAGCGTGCTATTCATAATAGCCCCAAGCTGGAAACTTCCCAAATGCGCATCAGCAGTAGAATGGAAAATAAATTGTATCCACTCCCAATGGAATGCTACATAACAATAAGAACGGTCTACAAATACACACAGTATAAACGAATCTCACAAGCATGAAGCTGAACGGAAGAAGTCAGGCACAGAAGAGTGTGTGCTCATGATTTCAATTATACAGAGAACAAGCCGGGGCAGGACTATCCATGTTGGCAGAAGAGATGGGGCTTACCCCCAGGGGAGAGCAGTTACCCTGGGGGATGGGGAGTGATGACCTCTGGGTGCTGGGAAGTTTTGGTTTCTTGATCTGGAGGCTGGGGACTTTTCATAAACTCAACACATCCTCAGCCCAAGTGGTTCAGATGGGTTGACTTCACTCCTGGCCCGAGACCCAGGCCCAGCCAATCAATGCCCTGAATCCCCCCTCCCCATCTCCCCAGTCATGGGGATTGGATTAGAAGTGGGAATGGGACTTAGGCCCAGCCAATCATTGCACGTCCTCTTTACAGTGATTCCAGGATGTGCGTGTGAATACCCAATCAGTACAGTAGGTCTTGACATCTGGACTTCTTTGGAGCCTTCCTACTGTGGTAGCAGAAAACACAGAATGTATACCTAGAACTCCTAGTGGTGCCCACCTGCTGCCCTAAGGGGTGACCTGAGAAGAGACCAACATGGAAAGCAGAGCTCAGTGTGGAGAGTACCAGTGGGGTCCCGAGGCCACCCTTTTGATTTCCTGGATCCAGCCATGCCTGAAGCTTCCCCCGCCCCCTGCTTTTTTTCTTTTTAAACTTACAGCAGTTCGAGTTGGGTTTACTCTTTAATCACTGCTGAAATGATCTATTTACATTTATGCAGCAACACATTGCATTTTGGGAAGCTTCTAATGTTTAGAAAGTTCTCTCCTTGGAAATTGGAGTCAACCTGTCCTTTGTGCCACCATTGAGGCACACATAGTTGTTATCCAATGGCTCTTCGGCTGGATGGTGGCCCCGGTACCTGACTGTTCTCTGTGCAACACGGTTTTCAGACGTTTGCCAGAGTCCCGTCGTCCGAGCATTCAAAAGGCTCCAGATGGGTCTGACAGGCCAAC